GGCATAAATTCTTCGTGACTGGCGGCGTCAAAAGAGAAATGGACATTGCGAATATCAATGGCGCATACGCGATACTTTCGAAATGCATTTCGCCCCTTTCTCTATCGCGGCGCGACCTCCGCGAGCGCACCCGCGATTTATTCGCCGCGATAAACGAGAAAAAAAAACAAGAGGGAGACAGAAAAAGAGAGAGAGAGAGAGAGAGTGAGAGAAAGAGAGAGAGAGAGAGAGAGAAAGAGAGAACGTGGCGTTTTTATTTATTTTAAAACGGACTCACCAGAGGATCCTGCGCGCGGGCATGTTCCGCGGTATTCAAACGGAATCGAAACCGATCGACCTGGCCGGCCGACCGGCGCGATTTGCGAGACAAACGCGCACGCTACCGATTCATCGCAGTCTCTTATTTTATTCGTTTATTTTATACGCGCGCGAGAGTGCAGCGTAGCTGCAAAGTCATTGTCGGAAGCGAGCCAAGTGAAAGGGGAGACGGGGAGAGAGATGGGGTCGCTGATCAAACGGTAATGCAATTCAATCGGCTCGAATGGAGAAAGAATGCGGGCGAATAAGGTGGCCGATAGCGCGCGATGTGTGTAATGCTTCGAAAAAGTAGATAGAAAGAGAGGATTGTGGTGGATTCTCTCTCGTTCTCTTTGGCTCTTCTTCTGCTGCATGTTGCGCCAGAAAGAGCGCTCGTCTCCTTCCGTGGCGAGAGTACGATATTAGGTTATTGCGACGCGAACGAAAGTAAAATCTCGCGGATGCGCGCGGCGATTTCGCGCAGAATCGGGCGACGGTAGCGCTGATAATATTACTATTAATGGCGACATCAGCAGGCGGTGATAGCGACGATCGGGTATACCGGAGCAGATAAGCGTACCATCCCGTCTAGAGGGACCAAAGCCGCGACCAAAGCCCGGCCAAAGCCTATATTCCGCATTCCCGTATGTGGGTATTTCGTATTCCGTTAAGAGAGATTTCCCTCATCCTGTTGTGAATCGCAAATGTAGCGGCCCTGTTTTCCTTCGTCTCTCTCTCTCTCTCTCTTTCTCTCTCTCTCTCTCTCTCTCTCTCTCTCTCTCTCCCCGCCCCTCTCTCCCTTCCTCTCACTCTCTCTTTCTTCTTCCACCGTTGCAACGCGTGCGCGAGTAATACTTAATGCTGGATCTGCTGTGTTTTTATTTTATTAATATTATCGAATCTCTGAAATCCGGAATATTATATGCTAGCTCACGAAATATTTACAATGCTGATTTGAGTAACAATTATTCGCAACAACCTATCCTAACCTGAGACTAGTTTTTTTCTTAGCTTTCTTACTCGCCGAGATAAAAATTAAAAAATTTGACAGTTCCCTCTTTTTGTCTCCCTTTCTTTGGTGAACGAAAATTTTCCTTCGGAACTTTGCCGCAAGATCGGAAAGCTCCGGTTCCTCTGACTGAGCTTTTCTATGCCTTTCCCGCCGGTGAATATCATTTCGCGAACTTCCACGCCGAAACGTTCGTCGATTCGTAACAGCCATTCGACTGTTGACCTTAACATCGATTTTAGAGCGATAGAGCGAGCGAGATAGAAGCAGAGGGAGAGAGCGTGAAGGCAAAAGAGGCCGCGATTTCCTTTATCCTCCGAGGATACCGAAGAGAGAGCTTTATTCTTCATTGACAAGAGCTTACGTGTTCGGGAAACCGATTAAAAATTCAAAGAGCGGCCTTTCCCTTCGCGCGCCCGATCAAGCGGCCGGTGGGTCGCTTGTTTCTTTTGCAACGGGCATATCCAATATTCAGCTTTCAATTTAACTTGGTCGAACGTCCCCCCGCTTCGTTTCGACATCGATACGGCGGAAGCTTGGCTGCTTCAATTATACAGCCGCGCCAATCGGCCGAGTACACTTAACGTTCTCGTTCCCTATCGACAATAGCGCGCCGTGCTCGCGTCAAATGGCCGAGCGATTCCCGAGTTTAACTTCAACCTCCGCAACTCGCACAATGACGGGGAAGGGCGGTTCTCCTTATCCGGCGAAGAAGTCGATGCAGGCTAGAGATGTAGACATACTCCGCTTTCTTCAACAAGAGAAAGAGAGAAAGAGAGGAGAGAGAGAGAGAGAAAAAGAGAGGAAGAACCCGCTTTTGTTCCGATTTCGATTACAGACGCCAAGAGAACCGTCTTTTTCATCGCTCTTCACCTCGAGCGGTCTCTTCTCTCGCGAACGATCTCTTCGGCGAGACACCCTCGTCTCTCGATGGCAATTTTATATCCGAATTCGTGAGCTTTCCACTTAACTAACAAACACACGGCACGGCAAATAGTTGAGCTACAAATACGCGTGTTTTAAATTAATAAATTAAGACGGTTCACGAGACAGCTGCGATTAAGCTGCGAGTCTCGACGAATATATCACGCTTGCCGTATCAGCGCGAATTAGCGGGTATTATTTAAATTGGACGTGGCTTTCTTAAGACCGTGTGTCAAGGATCGCTCGAGTAATATGTAAATCTACCGACCGACGAGTTCGTGAAATCTCCCCGCGTCTCGCAGATATTTATTGAAAAAAGTAATTGCAACGAAATGGAAAGATCTCAGGGTCTCGCTTGAATCTATCGCGCAAATATCACGTACCTTTCATCATCTGATATCAACGGAGAAAGATCGTTAAAATAGTTGCGAGAGACAGCGCGCGAGACCGTCCGCGAATTCTTCGGCGACGATCGAACTCTCGAGAGCAACCCCGCCACCACGACTCGACTATCATTTTTCAGATTAACGAGCAGCGATTGAAGTCCCGACCGCGGATTATTGGCCGGAGATGAGATCGCGTCTGATTTATATTGCAACAGCTTCAATGCGAGGCGTGAACGCGGCTTATTGCATTACCGTCGTACTCTGGCAACGTCGGGCCAGGGACCGGGGTCAACCCCATCGACGCGGTGGTAGCCCGATGGCGAAGTAGCCAATAGCAATGATCGATAAAGCGCCCCTAATTAACCAGGTTCTGCCGCCAAATTGGAGCTTTGTTCCGCCGGCGAAATTAATTGATTCTATCTATTCCATAGCCCCGGCGGTGTGCGCGCTTCTCGGATAACATTTGCCCGCCGAAAGCCGTCCACCTCTCTTCCTCCCTACCTCCCTCTCGCTCGCTCGTCCTCTCTCAGATAGCGAAGATTAGTTCGTCTTTAAAGCAAACTGGTCAATGTCTGGAGGCGGCTTTGAACGGAGTTGCATGAATGCTTATCCCCAGCCTCCAAGTTCTCCTTCGGGGAATGTGCCCGAGAACGTATCTACGCTACTACCACGGTGGAGCCCACTCAAAGGAGGACGAGCAGTAGATGAAATATCAAACGCACTCGTGATAAGATTAAATAACAACCGTATCTCCCTCCCCGGGCTCTCCCTATGGACGCGAGCGCGTGCTCGCAGTATCGTGTTTAGATGAATGGAGTATCACACTCAGGGCTCCGCATATTCATGGCCCACGACACGCCGGCACGCTCTCTGTTGCGTTGTCGTCTCGTTATTTACAGATGCTGTCACTGAATTTTTTAAAGCGCCGCGACACGGAGTGATCGATACAACAGGTGCTCGCACGGCGGCGCGAGTGTCCCGCTCGCGAAAGTGAAATAATTCTTGATCGCGCGCGTCACATGTCTTTTGCACTCGCTCACTCACCCCCCCCTCTCTCTCTCTCTCTCTCTCTCTCTCTCTCTCTCTCTCTCTCTCTCTTCCTTTATCCTTTCGTTCCAGTCGCCGAAACTAGAAAATGCAGTAAACGTCTCGGACGAGCATATTGCGTCGCTAGTCATGATTCCATTAGAGTTCACCAAACTCACCTCGGCGGAGAGAGAACAGGAGGTTTTATTATCTAATTACACCCACATGCAACACGAATTCGCCGGGACTCCTTTCCGGCGAAATCTCGGTATTTTTATCGGGGAAAGTTTGTCGTTTCTATTCTAAATTCGCGTGTCACGTTACCGACGAGTCGCGCACGCGTACGCGAATTTATCGCGCACCCTCTGCTACATCGTATCCGAAAATACACCCCGCTTCGTCTTCGACCTTTCTTCCGGAGGGACTCGGGGCCCTTGTCTTTTCTCGTAGGAAACAATTGACGACTATCGTAGCACGGACGAGTAGCAGGGCCTGTCGTCGCTCGCTCGGCGAGGTTTATTCACGCGTCCGCGATGCAATTGCAGCGTGCATCCCCGCGCGGCGGTGTGCACGGACGGGAAACGTGGCCCGACCGCATTCGCGAGCAAATGTTGCATGTAGACAACCATTCTCGCTTCCGGTTGACTGCCATGCACAGAATGCGTGCGCGTATGCAGATTGGCGGGCTTGCTATGCAGTCCGCGCGCACCGACGCGAAGATCGATCCCCGCGACTATACACGCGCGGCTCTTTCGCTTCGAGCGAATCACCCGGAAAAGTATTCGATCCAGCCGATGGCGCGCAGCGACTCGTAATCCAGCCGCGGAAATACCCCGGCCCGTGTCTTCGTGCTCGAATGTCATGCTCGCGTAGCGGATTAACCCATCTCCGCATCGGAAGCGAACGCGCCGATTTACTTCGCTCGCCTATTGTCGGCCCCATTGACTCTCGTCGATTTCGCAATTTCTTACCTAAGACGATTGCGAATCGCAAAAATCCATGCGCTTTCCGTCGACCACGCGCGGTCCGGTTTTACTACAACTAACATCAACTGTAACGGGAGGAGAATGTTCAATGATGTGGGCGTACTTTTCAAAGCTGCTCTAATGACGTAAGCGGATTAATTAACGACTCGCCGGAGACCATCGAATATCGCGGCTTCGAGCGTGCGCGGAATTAAAAGCGGACAAAGGGGATGTAATTAATTAACAGGGCACTCTGTAATAAATACGACGTCAACAATAAAATATTAAATTTCGTCGTTCGAAATAATAAAGTGTCGTTATATTAATGACGAGATAAAGTTAATAGGGAGGTAGTCGCGCGTGCTCCGTGCAATACAAATATTTTGCGTGCAGGAACTGCCTGGTCGGCAAAGCGTACCACATCAAGATCTCGGACTTCGGCACGGACAACGAACTGTATTCCTGCGACTACTACAAGGTCGATGGGGCCATGCCGCTGCCGGTACGATGGATGGCCTGGGAGTCAATATTTCTGGTAAGCCTCGTTATCTTCCCGCATGACGTATCGCGGCAACGTGACGATTGAAGCCCTTGCGACGGAAGTATGTTTCTCGTATGCCGTGATTTCGCGAGCTGAACGTGCACATTGTTGGCCACACGCCCGACTAGGTCATATTACTTCGCGATAACGAGAAAATTCTGGGCGACTGTATAAAGTACGGTGAAAAGTGCCGTACTGTGTGATAACATACCATCAGGGTTGGGAAAGTTACTTTGTAAAAGTATCCAGTTACAGCTACAGTTTTTTCAAGCTGAAAAAGCAACTAGCTACAGTTACAAGTTACTGACCTTAAAAAATAACTTGTTACAGTTATAGTTATTTAGTAAATAACGAGTCGTTACTTTTCAGTTACGTTTTTACAATAATTGTGCTATTATTTTAAATTTCGTAATTGTGTAAATTCTTTCGATTTTATATGAAAGTAGTTTGTTGATTATTATATTCCTCATATCGTATATAATTTTTACAAATTAGATTTATTATAATTTAAATAAGCAATTCATCTTCAAGACTACAGCAACTGGGCAGAGAAATGCCCAGTTGTTATCGTTTCCAAGTTTTTGCTGTAACTCGAATATTTTTACATATGCTGCTCATGGCATTTTACAATATTTTTCCAAAGATTGAGATGTTTTATCTATTGCTTGAATTTTTTATATAACTGAAACCACGCAGCACACTTCACGCTGAACGCAGGTTATATTAACAAATAATAAAAACTGGCGACGCGCGACTACTAAATTAGTTACTAGTTATCAAACAAATGTAACTAAGTTAAGTTACAGTTATATGGAAAAAAAGGAACGAAGTTAAGTTATAGATACCAAAAAAACATAATTGTGATTGCAACTTCGTTACAAGTAACGAGTTATTTCCCAGCCCTGCACACCGCATACACTTTTGTCATTTGGCAAAAATTTTTGTTATTTTATATTCTAATCTTCTTAAAAGATTCTATTCTATTAAAACGGAAAAGTAAAGAAACCCTCCTCTTTCTTTGTCGTATTGTTAAACATTCTATCAAGATTTATTTCAAAAAATTTGCTCAGGAAAGAGAAAAGAGAGAAAATAAATAAATGTCTTTTCCTTCGTCCTCTCTTTGAAAAAATCTCTAAAAACTAAATAAAAGTCACGAGATATCAACGCTTGCAAATAAATCTGCTCAAGAAAAGAAAATCTAAGACAACATTTAAAATGCTAATTACATCGTACTTGGTCACCAGGGCAAGTACACGACGAAGAGCGACGTGTGGGCGTTTGCGGTCACCCTGTGGGAGATCCTGAACCTCGGCAGGCGCGTACCGTACGAGCACTTGTCGGACGAGGAGGTGGTGCAGAGTCTGCGCCAGCTGCATCACGCTGCCGACTGCGGCAGCCACGGCAGCAGCAACGCCAATCCTGAGGACGGTTGCAAGGAGGACTCCGGCGGCGGCGGCGGCGGCGGCAACGTCGGCAACAACTTCGACTACTTGCCGCGGCCTACCGCCTCCTCCAAGGACATCTACGACCTGATGCTCGAGTGCTGGCGACGAGAGGAGAACGAGAGGCCGACCTTCCGCGAGATATCGCTCTTCCTGCAGCGGAAAAACCTGGGCTACGCACCGACGTCCTGATATTGAGCCCCGAGCAACGACTCCGGCGAGCACGACAACTTTCTCAACGGTTATCCCGCGGGACTTCAGAACGGGCCGACGAGCGGCCCGGAAACGGGTCGGCGAGCGTGCGATGACGGTGTGCCGCGTCCTTGCTCGAGAAATCGCAGGAGTTGAAGTGGCCGTCAAATGAGGGCGGAGGAAGGAGGAGGCGAAGAAAAGCTCCACGATGGGAAAACGATCGGCCGTCTTGCGCGTCACGGTAAATTGTCGTAGTATCGCTCATACGCGACATCGAAATGACAAGTACAACGACGATGACGACGAGAACGATCGTCGCACCGTCTCCGTCAACGAAACGCCCGGACCTGGCGGGTCTGGATCTACTGCCAGTGCCGCGATCCGGGATCCGTCGTCCCGCGACCTCGTCTCCACGACGCGTACCTTCGGATAACGAGTATACCGTTGAGGGCAGGAAGTGACCCTTAGGATAGATAGAAGAGTAAGGAAACGCGCGACGGGGTCTCTCGCTCCTTCCAATGAAAAAACCTCTCGGAGGTTTCACTGTGTTATAGCTTGAGTTGCCACGCGTGCGTCCGCACCGCGAGAGAACACGACAACAACCGCGAGATCCTGACAACAACAGTAGGAACATGACGACGGTGCTTGTGTGATGCCGCCACTGTATATGTCGCCTCGTCTTCTCCAGAAGTTTCGTGACTGACACGAGGAGTGCGAATTTTTTCGTGCCGAAAGCGGAAGAAAAGAAGTAGTATGGAGCTGCGTAGTTTTCGAGCAGACGACAAGGACGAGAGAGAGAGAGAAAGAGATAGATATAATGATAAAGCGAGGGCGGACGGACTGTGAATCTGCGAACACGACAATCGGACGAGAGCACAATAAAAAACAGGAAAATAAGCTTGCCCGTCGTAGATGATAGCAGCCGCGCGTAATCCGCGGAAAATCGAACGCGCGCACGTGCGCGCTTATCGAAGGGAGACAACGACAACGATGACGACGAAATCGGCGGTAGTAGTGATAGCGAAGAAGGACGATCCTGCTCTCAAGATCTCTCTCTCTCCCTCTCTCTCTCTCTCTCTCTCTCTCGCTTTTCTTTCTCTCTCTTTCTCTCTCCTGCAATCTCGTCGACAGCTTATTAGGAGCAATACGTGTGTAATTAATAAAATAATAGTAATGTACAGCTATGAACATTCCTACGTGGACTGACGAGTTCTGGAATCCCGTTTGACCGTAATTGTTAAGAAAGAAAAATAAAGGGGGGAAGGAAAGGAAGGAGAAGAGAAAGAGGAAGAGAGAGAGAGAGAGAGAGCACGCAATACCCACAAAAGATAGAAAAGGGATCGTTTACTTAAGGAAGATAATTAGCGGGATCTCTCCCTCGATGGAAATTATATATCATTTCGATTGAGAGGGGTTTCACGGAGTAAAGGAAGAGAGAGAGAAAGAAAGAGAGAGGGGGGGAGAAGGGAAAGGAATACGAAAAGAGAGACATCGACGGTATGGCAATATAGTATGGCTGTATAGTACACACCGATATCAGACGCTAAAGCTATGACTGTCGAGTTAATCATCATGGAGAGAAAGAGAGAGAGAGAAAGAGAGAGAAGCAATGCAAATATGAATATTCGTAAACGTGTGGGTGCCTGTTTCCCGCCCATTCTTTCTCCCTCTCCCTATTTATACCCCCTTCTATTCTTCTTCACCGCTCTCTTTTACTATCTGAACGTGTATATCGTAATATCGTCCCAGGTACTCTGGGTCTCTCTAATTGTGAGACGAATCTACTTTGTGCGTATGCGTGTGTGCGTGCGTGCGTGCGTGCGTGCATGTAATTTACATCGCGAGATCCGTTATCGTCATGAGACGCACAATGTATCGCGCGAGACGACAGAAACGTTATCGCATATGCGTGTCTGTTGACGATCAGCGATCGGAGGAATTCGAGAATCGTCTCGCGCTTTTCCGCGAGACGCTATTTTTTCGTCTGTGTGTATCCGGATTTTCGCGCGTGTGTATATATATATACAGCGCGTATACGCAATAATATACGAAGCGCGAGGTGTAATATAAATCATAAGTCTCGACGAACGGAGGATGTTCTCGGGATAAACTCTTACTGGCGGCGGCGAGGGGAAAATGAGACAGTCGTCGGGTGATTGTAAAGATTTCTCGATAGTAAATGTTTTCTTCGAAACGTGTGTATCACTATTTCAATCAACAATTAAGAAAAAAAATAAACAGAGTTTGTACGTGGGTGAAACTACGTTGATGTCGTGTAAACTCTAGACCGAGTATTCTCATAAGTTGTAAGTTAAGCGCGCGATGAGCGCAGGCGAAGGGGGTAAAAGACGCGTTCTACCTGTTCTCAACATCGAGAGATCGGTAATAGGCTATACGTATCATGACTATGACACATCATAATTATAACTTTATAACGATAGGCGGGATCAATGAAAAAAAAAAGAATTAGAATATTGTATATATACAATAAGGCGCACTTCTATGTGTGTATGTGGTAAGAAGCGTTATACATTGCGAATTTCGGGAGAGAATGAGAGAGAATAGATGAGATCGGACGGAATCGGGAAGCGAATTGCATTTTGTTACACGCGGAAGAGAAAAAGAAAGAGAACGCGCGCGGTTTCACGTCCCGCGCGCTTTCTTCGCATGTGCACATCCGTTATTAACGTATGGACGAAAGAAAACCGGGACAGGAGGAGGAGAAAAGAAACGAAAAGAGGTACGGAAACTGTTTAGCTTCCGAATCGACGAGATATTCGTGGCGCGAAGTGATGGACGAGCACGACGAGAATTCGACATATCGGAACGTTTTTTTCCTGTGAAATTTCGACGAGGCGAGAAACGCGTGGATAAAAATCGAATAAAAGCCAAGTAAAACGATCGCATCCTGTGAACGTGTCGGCGGCGTTCGTCGACGACAACGACAACGACGCGCGAATTTGCCCGGCATTTGCGCGTCGCAACACCGTCTCCGATCGCATTCCGATGTAATTTCGAATCGACACTTCTCTTAGGTTCCACTTATTTATATACACCAGATGGATACACTATGAACTTATGCGACATTTTTAGCGGATAGGCGATGTTACCGTTATACCATTAAAATACTATTTATATAAATTAAACGTAATATACCGCGTAATAAAGAATAGAGACGATATGGAGACATAGCCATACGTAGTTGTGAGGTATTCGCGTTGAATTTAAACGTAACTGGAATTGCTTCTACATCTTCCTCCACCGAGGGACCGCGGAGTGTCCAAGGCGAGTGAACGAAACAAACGAAATAATAGACAAAATTAGGAGAGAGCAGAACAAAAATTTCACATGTACACATATACACACATAACAAATACGATCAGTGCGAAATTACGCGCGTGAATTCTGAGCTAACAGGAATATAGGCAACATTTTTTATCTTGCCAAGAAGAGAAAGAGAGGGAGAGGGAGAAAGAGAGAAAAATAGAACAAAATGAAAATAGTAATAATGCCGACCGATCGACGCGATTGGGTAGTTACGAATGCGTGATTTACGTGATATTTGCGTAAAAGGGAGAGAGAAAGAGAAAGATAGAAAGCGAGAGTGTGACACAGATCGCGACATATACGTATAATTTTGTGCCATCGCGAGGAACCGCGGCCGATCAATTAATTAAATTCGCCACCGGTTGTGACTGAGTTGAAAACAATAATAATAATGATAACTGAAACTACCGTACGTCACGGTACGTGTTTTTAGTCCGAAACAGACTGCCATTACCTACTACCTTGAAAACGATAATAGAGAACGGATTGTAGTTGCGTTTAGATTCGCCAACATAAGCATAACGCTGCCTTTGGCTATATTGTTGCCCCTTACTGCTAACGAGTAACTCACTTGTCTACTCATGTGATAATTTAGTATATCTCTACGTACCTACCTGTACCTACCAATTCGAAGTTCTTCGTGGCGAAAGGATTATCTCGGTGTCCTTTTTTTTCTTTTCGTCTTATCGCTTTGCGTTTGATTCTCGGTAATTTAGCCGGAACATTAATTCACGATCAATCCTCTTGACGAAAATCTGACACATGCAACTACGAGGATCGATCGAGAACCTGAGGACTTCCGATCCAGTTTGGACCGAACAACTTCGCCGAATGCGTAAATTCACAGCATAGGGGCTGCTCCGGGATTTCTTGAAAATTGCGAAAGAAGAAAAAAAAGAAAATACGCGACGACGATTTGTCGTGAGTAAATGACACGTGTAATCCTTTCTCTACGCAAAGACTCGCTATTATAATCTAGATAGCTTACTTCTACCTAGTGTGCCCTTTTTCCAGTGATGGTTAATTATGTTCTTTGCGGACAATTCGAGCTCTGCCAATATGGCGTCACCGGGGTAACAAACTGTTCAGAATCACATTTCCGAAAGAGAGAGAGAGAGAGAGAGAGAGAGAGAGAGAGAGAGAGAGAGAGAGAGAGAGAAGCGACAGCCGGATACATTTGGCTCGTGCGTTCCATAACATACACGCTGAGTCGATGCGAGATTTCGTTTCTTTGAAGGCTCAAACTTAATTGCAACGACATCTCCAAAACCCTCATCGCGATACGCATACACACATATCTGTACACACACACACACACGTACATACGCTACTGATTCCTTCGGTACATATATATATTTTTAAACACATTTATAATCGACAATCACGCTTGCCTCGGAATTTTAGGGGATATATTTAGCGCCGATCGCGATTTTCTTGGAATACGAGCAACAGTATTTCGCGATTAATTTGTTCATTATGAGACGCGCGAGTACGGCTCTCAAATAGAACGGAACTGATTTTTCTCTATGGAGGAATGCGTACAATAATTTCGTTTGCGCACGAAAAAGAAGATATTTATGTGTTTCTTCACGCATGACAGCCATGAGTAGAAACACGTGGACGATCATTTGCGCGATCATACGAGGAGAATCATTTTCTCAAGGCAGACGCGAATATCATTGAATTCCTCGAATAATAAACTTGTTGTTAATTACGGTCTATTTTTTTCACTGCGAACAACTGAAGCCGCGCGCATTGTGTATACGGTCGTCGTGTTGTTTGTCATTTTAGTCAATGGCTACGTTCAGCAGAACAAAGTGATCAGTGAGCGCTTAATGATTATTATCTGTGACTGGGCATTCTTTTAGATTCTTCATAGATCCAGAAGTATTTACCAATCAGGAGCGAGAGTCACTAAGCGCTCACTGATCATTTTGTTCTTCTGAACGCAGCCAATCATTTGTCGCATAAAGTCAAAACGATGAAACTGTAAAACTGCATCGCGTATATAAAAAGTAGCGCCACGATGGCAAGTCCAAAGATCGCGACGATGAGATCGATTATAATGTTAATGTACACCAAGTTTTAGTATCATAAGTACAATCTCATTTCTCAGCACAGAAACATTTGAAATTTTCAGCTAAATATAACATATCCAAATATTTATGCATCATGATATTGTTGGTTAATAATAATTGATTAATAATCAACAGTCATTGTGTAATATTTAGATACAATGTATTTGATTGAAAATTTCAAATGTCACTGTAGGATTGGGACCGCATTTATGAAGCAGAAATACCAACCTACTCCAAGCCAAATTATTATCAAAACGCAATAAATTATGTATGAAAACATTTGTCAATTTTTTCCTTTCAAAAGTAATTTTTCTACTTCAACGATTAAAAAGTTACGAATGGTTAGATAGTTTAGGATTAAGCTACCAAGCCATTATGAAAATAGCGTAGACATTTACAATTAGTAACTTCTTAATGCTTGAAGCAAAAAATTATTTTTGGAGGTAGACAGATGGTAAAATATTAGCAAATCATTATCACATACAATTTATTGTATTTTAACAATTTAGCCTGGATAGCTTAATACACCTTCGTGAAACTTGATCTACATCTCTATAATCTACAATCATGTCACGCATATATGTGCACCACGAGTAAATTTGTTTCGCGCGAGCACACGATGAAGCATAATTTCTATGTAATACCAGATTGTTAACCTCTATCGGTGGAATTGCGCGGGGAAATCTACAGGTAATCGCGGGAAAACTGGGGAGAGCTCATCTAGTTGTATCTTCTATCCAGGTAGGAGCAACACACGGCCACGCTTGATGATTTCGAACGTTCCTCTTTCCTCTCTTTCTCTCGCGAAGAGAGTTGAGAAATCACTCCGCAGAAATCGCGAAGGATCACATTCTCGAACTCGAGAGACGAGGGAGAAACCCGAAATCGGCGAAACCAAGACCACCGAACGCCGTGGGTTGCCCATATCTGTTCTAACGCTATCGAACCTTGATCGTTATAGTCATAAAATTATTTTGTACTAAAAACTGTTTATAATTTTGTATCTAATCTCTGTAAATATCAAGCAGATTGTCTATGAGTAATAAAGCTTAAACAAACTCGATTTAAGTAGACTATATATAAATATATATATAAAAATATGGGAAGAAAAGAAGTATATATATATATATAAAAATATATATATGAAAATATAAGTATTTATAATATATCTATATTTTAACTAGTCATAAGGCAGCAATCGCGAAGAGATGTAAGTAAATTTCGCATATGCGCGGATCGGTAACGTAACAATGTACAACGATTTAGGGAATATTTGTATTATAAAGACGGTAATTAAGGGACAAATCATAAAAAAAAAGTATACATGTTACTCAGTAGTCGTCTGTGTGTGATGCGTATATGTACATGTGTGTGTATGTGAAATGTATGTGTATACATATATACATATACGCGTGACATTATATTTACCACCTAGACTAATTAACTAGTCATGTACGGCACTTTATAGCAATTAAAGTGTATCCCTGACGATAAACGCGAACGCGCAACGTGTGTGCTGTTCTTTGACTATTCTTGCTTTAAATAGAAAAATGATGAGAAGGAGAGAGAGAGAGAGAGGGAACGGGGGGCAAGACGTACAGTTCACTAATACTAAATGCAACGATCAGACGACGCTCCGTGATCGTTTCCCAAGCAAATTTATAAATTTTAACTCTGCCACAAACGCCCAGCTCGAACGCTGCGCGTACACATATTGTGAACGAATTCCACCGGGAAAACGTGAATTTTGCCGTAGACCCGAACATATCATTTAAATAACTTACACGTGTATCTCATTAAAAGGAAAACGACATGTAACACTTGTGTGTTTATAAATTCTATTATCCATTGTCATTATCCATCAAAGGAGCATGATATTACCGCGTCGTAAATACTTATACGTATCTATTCTATGTTTCTGAATGATAATAAATGATAGAGTTAATATTGCATTATTGGCAAATCGTCCAAATATTGGTAGTGTATATATAACTTTCGTATTACGTGTGTATTAATAATCGATATTTATATTTACCGTGGAATTTAAGTTTCATTTAATTTGCAATATATATATTCGCAATATTAATATTTATATATACTCTTATAACATGAAATTCCTGTGAAATGGACTCAATTAAGCTAATTGTGAAATCAAAATTATATTATAGATCTAAATGTCGAAATTAGCGAAAAAAGTATCGCGGTAAGAAGTCTCCGATATTTGTCTCAGATCTATAAAATGCAACAATGTGTTTCTCAGATTTTACACATACTATTATTATTTAGGCATTTAATTCCAGATAAACTGCTCCTTGTCTACGTGTCATAAACAAATCGATAGTTTTACTTGGGACTTGAATGCTCGGATGCATGGAACACACAAGCACAAGACGGCACAAAAAAATTGCGATCTGCTTTATCAGTACTTACAGACTTATCCTTCGGTGAAACCACAAAGAAAAAAACCGCTATTTTACCTCTATCCAGCCATCTCGCGGCGAATATCCGCGACAAATCTTCGCTCGATTCCATTTCTTCCCGATAGCACATTTTCCAGAACCTTTCCGAAACTCGCTTTCGGCGATTGTTTGATTTTATTCTGTTACCGCAAAGTCAGAGTTGAAACTGCGAAAGTCTGTGTATCCTTCGAGCGGGGCCTCATAAACGCTCGAAGATATCGTCATTACGAATAACCATATTATCGTAATATACGTTCGTTAGGCACTGCCGACAGATCACTTCGCGATTACGAACGCGCTAAAGCGATTTTCGGCACTCCCGACGATGATTCGCGTATAAGGCTCACCTTCGAGCGAAAACGAAATCGCTCGAAAAAATCGATATTTCGAATCGCCATGATTCGACGGATACGCAATATTTTTTAGGCACTGTCGGCAGATTTCTTCACGAGATACTCGATAGTTACTCGATGTTATTCATGTCGCCACGAATACGCGAAACTAATTTGCAACACTCCCGACGATAATCCGCGCGCGACGCTCGACATTGGCGAGTCGAATCGCAAAGATCACGATTTACCGAACATACACCGACCTGTCGTGATCGTTATGCAAACTGAACATTTCAACAATTGAGAAATCCAAAACAGTGATACGCACAGTACTTCAGTCAGTACCCCTACCGGTCAACTGCGCGAAATGCGCTCTTTTGATAAATGATAAGCGATATTTTGTCTACAATGGGTCTTGTTTGAGACTTGTTTACAGCACTATCTTTAATGTTTCATAAGATTACTCTCCAGAGTCGAAAATGTAACGAGTAGTGCAATGCAAAGTTTACGAACCTCCATGGTGCAACAGGTTCGTTCAACCTGCCGACAGACCATTTCACCGGACACTCGTTTCCGACGTCGAACGATAATTTATAGTAACGAACGCGCGAAACTTACTTTCAGCACTCCTGGCGATAATTCGCGGACGAAATTTATACCCTTGGTGAACGAAATAATACGAAATGGGGAACAACTTTACGAATACCGCCACATAGCGAATAGTTCTGTGATGGACTGAATATAGCAACAATTGAAGTTCTCGAATAGATCGATACGTCCAATGCGCATGTGCACGTAATCTTCGTAGGTATAATTACAATAATTCAGTGTTATATTGTTAATTAGAGTGGATAATCTGTGAAATGTTATTAAAAATTCGTTCAATCGTAATCTTGTGACTACGAAATTGATAAAATTATCGAAAATACCGATATAGATCCAGGCGCGAATGGTGACCAATAAGAGAACTCGTTTCTTAGGGTCTTAGCTGGGGATATTCTTTCTGGTGGTAGACGTACAATCAGCTGTTCTTCAACTTCAGTCGAGTCACGAGAAATAGTATGGTGCGTGATGTGTCTCGAAAAAGCGAATGTTTACAAGAGAATATGAAAATTGCTAAATTAATAAATATGAGGAAATGATGAGAGAAATCATCAGTTCAAATAGACTGAGTAATACCAAAGTTCGAAGTTGAATAATTATGTTAAAATGTTAAACTTTTAAATTTATGAAAAGAAATTAAACATCTTGTATATTTTTTGTCAATTGGGAAATTGTACTTCCTATTTGAAGAAGACAATGGTTGGAATATTTTTGAGAATATCTTCAATATGACATGATTTTGGAAATTACATAAATGATGATTTATTAACAAAAATGTTTTATATTATGCCACCTAATGGAGAGGTACCTCTTTATATTTTGGAGGATTGTGTTTTAACAAGATTAAATTATTTAACACATTTACATGAAGGAACTACTGATAAATTTGATGGCAACTTTGAATACTTGTTAGAAAATTCTTCTTATGATGAAATTGGACATTTTGTACTAAGGTAATTATATATCAATCTTTAATAGTATATAGTATAAGTTGAACATATAAAAACCATGTTTATATTTTTGATTAATTGCAATTTTCTATTTCAGATTATTGGCTTGTGTGTCTTCAGATATAAGGATATATTGGATTACCAAAGAATCATTGTTATTTAAACACAGATTAGATAATACCCCACCTAGACAGTTATACAAATTATTTAAACAAATTATATGGAAAATACAGTTATATAAAGGTCAAGGTAACATGATTGAAGCAACTCTGATTGAATTATGCAAATTCTACTTACAACCCTTGATTTTTAAGCATCTGATATCAAATTGTCAAAACTGTAATGAATTTGTATATAAAGGTGTGTATATATATATAGATATATGTATCTGTATAATTTTTCAGTAATAATTTATATACACAAGATTTTTAAAGAATAAATATAAAAAATATAAAAAATAAATATACAAAAAATTTTTAAAGAATAAATTAAATAAATTAAATATTTTTTAGTACATTCTATATTTATAAATTTCAGTGAAATTTGAGATAATACCAGACTTGGTAAAAGAACGGGAATTAGTCCTTAATAATGGATATGTTTTTACACATTGTTCAACTTGGAAAAGAGTACTTCAATCATTATGTAGTACATATTTAAGCAGTGAACTAAATCTTATGAAGAAACAGGCACAATATATTGTGAAGTATGATCTGAGATTACAGTTTTTAAGCCAGAAAGTTCAATCTTATCTTTTCAAGGAGTGTACTATCCACGGAAGAGTAACTATCGAAAACATAGATGCAGAATCGGAAAAATTTCCTCCGTGCATGCGCCATTTACATTCTATATTAAAAAGTAGACATCGTCTTAGTCACTACGCGCGCTTGTACTACAGCCTCTTCCTAAAAGAGATTGGGATGAAACTGGATGACTCGATCACATTTTGGAAGCAGGAATATTCCAAACCACATGCCTGTACTTCAATATGTTCGCACAATTGGCAATCTAACGAGAAAAAGTTTGTATATAGTATTCGGCATATGTACGGTTTAGAAGGATCCCGAAGAAACTATAAAACACCCGACTGCAGTAAAATTTGCGTTGGTATCAATTTTTAAAAATATTAAAGTCTTATTCAAATAATTCAATGATTTCATTTTTTAAATGTTATAATCTTTGCAGGCAGGTATCAATGGAACAACATATGAGGGTGGTTGTCCTTTTAAAGATTTTGATGTGAATATACTAAAAAATCTTTTACATACTTCATTAACTGAAGACGAAATGGCTAAACTCTTAAATAATATAGCTATTCAAAGTCCAGAAATGCTTTGTGCAGAGTTTCAAAAATTCATACGCAAAGATAATACTGATAATGTCACTATCGACAGTCCAGTACAGTTTTATCAAAGGATGATTGGATAGTATAGATTTTTGTATGCTATTTAATTGATTTATGATTCTAAAATATATGACAATTTATATTGCATAAAAATAAACATTTATAAAAAATTATAAATTAAATTTGTAATTAAAATTTGTAGTTAAAGTTATTCTAAACAATCATCGCCTACTGAATGCTTTCAAAGACTTTTCTATGAGATCTTGAGTCACACCATTTGTGACTAACACAGTATACACAGAAAGTTTGCCAATTTCCACAATATTTCTGTACTCATCATCAAAAAAGAGCATATCTCTGTAACGAACTTTAGAATTCTTCTGGATACTGAAAACATATATTCAATTAGTTTATATTTTATGAAAGATACTGTATAAAATGATGAAAAGACTATAAAACTTACTTGGAGAAATGTGCAACTTTCGTACCAGGATATATTTCGACATATTTGAAATATTTGTCCCAGCCAAACAAATTTAAAAGTTGTTTGGCACCTTCTATTTCCTTTGTACGTGATGCTATGCCAAGTTCATATCCTTGTTCATATAATCGTTTTATGATATAAAGTATATCAGGATCGTATATTACATTATTACCATGCGCATCTACCACTTTATCAGATCTAAAATTTGATTTCATCGAAGTAAGATCAATGATCAAAATATAGTACAGTTATTTACTTATACAAAAGATATACTAACTTTTTTCTGAATGGAGCAATATAATGAGTGTGAACCCAAAATGGCCATAAAGTATAGTCTAGAATTTCATTTCCTTATTTATTAAGCAATTATAAACAATCTGCAAATTAAAAATATATAATTACCCAAATCAAAGACAATAATCTTTGGTTTTCTCTCCATAGATGTTTACTGGTCCAGTGACAATATAATATGCAGGATGACTCAGGATCTAATAAATGTTACTCTTTCTTTTTACTGAAAGTTAATCAGTTAAGAGCATTGATTATTTCTTTTTTAGATAAAAGATAAAATTGTAACCCAAACAGCACCGAGTCGACTATTAGCCGACTGCAAGTCGGCAGAAAAAGTCAAAAGTCAACTTCAAAGTCAGATTGAATGGCAACTTAAAGTCGACTGACAGCCGACAAATGACTCGACTATAGTCGACCGTCAGTCACCTATTAAGTCGACTTAGAAGTCGACTTTATGACAACTTTAAGTCTGCCTTCAGTCAATATTACGCCGATTATAAGTCGATTTGTAGTCAATTTAACTTTATTTACATTAACTATTAAATTTTTATTTTAATAGTGACATTCCTAAAAAATGTTATCGATATAATATTATTATACTTTAATTGTATAATATTGTTATATATATAATACAATTAAAGAATAGTAAAATTAAATTTACCAAGTATTTGAAAATGTTAAATGGAATTTAAATAATTATAACAAATATATAATTATAAAATAAACAACAATATGTATTAATATAAAATAATTATTTTTATTAATTTTATTTATTAAACATTTTATATATATATACATTTCATATGTTATATATATATATATAATATTTTATATAAAAATATATTAATGTGTCTTTGTATTCGTACACACATGTAATTAACATCTGATAAAAATAAATGCATACGTTATAATTGTAAATTAAAAAAAATTAGAGTTTTGTGAACAAAAAATAAAATAACTCCATCTTTTACATTAAATTGCTTAATATATTCCCATTTATTTTTTTAGTAGGGCTCTTATTCTGTCTCCCGCTCGTCGTAGCCATTCTTGAATGAAAGCTTCAATTTCGCGGATCGATGTGCTTTTGTGAATCTTTAAAAAAACGGCTATAAACATAATTATACAGTGCATATATATAAATATTTTTCAAAAAAAATCCTCTGAAAATTCAATTTACTAGTAATATTGTGCAGTTGTATTACCTTCTGCCTAGTAAAAGTGCTGGGATCTTAATGACGAATATCTCTGCAGTTAAAGGCAGTCAAAAGGCATAAAATCTGAAAAAAAGTTATACAAAATCTGAATTGAACTTCTGAATTACTGAACAAACACTGAATAATAAGGGAACAAAGAAACTATTAAATCAATTAATAAACATGTTTACTAGTCAAAAAATGGCAGGATTGTTGCAAAAAAGAGCTTATGCTCATTATTTTCCAGTCCAGGACAAGCAAACTAAGTAAATCATACTAATAGAATACAACTTGCTACAAGAACTCTATGCACTAAGCAGGAAAGACTATATCTTGTGTTGTCTTTATATTAAAATGACATATACACAGGTAAATGTGTGAAATATTTTACTTATTGGGAAAAATTCGTTATATTCAGTTATTCTGCATAAAACTCAACTTAGCTGAAACAATACTACGACTACCAAATACGAAGCACGGATAACTGATGAGAAAAAGATTCCCTGACTCCCTGCAAGTATATTTTGCATGTTATATGGAAAATATTATATATTTTAATTTCTTACCAATTTCTTGCTTGCAAATAAATAGGATAAGTAAAATACTAGCTCGAAAGAGTGTCCACAATATATAAAGCAGTCTCTTTTGAAAACACAATAACAGTATATGTAATCGCTGTGTCAGCGGTGACCATGTATTGTGATGAAAAAGTTAAGTCAACATTTTCACAAAGCTACAATCGGTTACTAAGTTTCATATACTCGAGAGAAACAAAATTGTAACACGTTTGTCTTATGGAAACGTCGAAAATAGAATATGCCTAGTGACAAGTATACGACTATACGACCAAGTTAAAAATTCAGTTATGAATAAAATCGAACAAGGCTTATGTAGCAGCCTAGGCAGTTATAAAATTTTCATACTATTTTTCACGTGAAAACACTAAGAACATGAAAGAAAAGTCATACTAATGACTTTGCTCGCTAATGACATTAACACACTTAGAAGTTATGACGCACAAGATTAAATCGTATACATATCTTACATAACGCGCGACGCGTTTATTCGTTTACGGGCGATAGTAAAAACATGACGAAAGCACTCGCGTGCCGATAATTGATGCTAATAAATGAATCAAAACATGAAATATGAAAAACATTTTATACTTTTGCCTGGAAAATTGCTTACACTTCTGCCACAAATTATAACGATTATTACACATATATATAAAGCATATTATTAGAAATATATATAACAATATTGTTAAACTTTATTTGGCACAATATAATTAAGAAAATAAAAAAGATTACCTCTGATTAAAACGATGAGGTGGTGAGCAGTGGTGAGCGAGGTGAAAACCAATAGTGTTCCTAAACCACAATGGCTGCACTTAGTACTACACTATGATCAGTGAGGCCGCGTTTCGTTTCACGCATATACGCGCATTTCCTACAGTATACGTAACATGAACTATAGATAAATACGCGCATATGCGTGAAACGGAACGCAGCTTGAGAGTGTGTTTGGGAAGCTCTTTATGCGCTATTTAAGGTAGCGCGGTAGCGTTAAATAGCGTTCATTAGCGTCTTGTATATGTTAAATATCCAATGGCTACATTCAGCGAAAAAAACCGTGAGCAGTCAGTTATTATTGGTCTTTGCTGTTAAATCTAGATCAATTACGTCAACAAAACACTAAACAGTTGTGCAACTGTTGTATTCGCTACACACATATATAATGACTCGTCCATCGACGCCGAAACGATATCAAATTGACTTCTATTGACAAGTAATTTCTCATTGAATAATGGTTTAATTTATATATTTTAAGAAAAGATATCTTTTAATCGACTTTTTGCTTTGCTGAAAACCGATTTTTAATCGTCTCAAAATAGTCGATTTTAAGTCGACTTCACAGTCAATAGTTAAAGTCGACAAAAATCATCCTGGAAATAGTCGGCTAAACGTCGACTTTAAAAGTCGACTTCAAGTTGACTAAAAATAGTCGACTATCAATCGGCAAATAGTCATTCGTGCTATGTGGGAATAACCGTGACTATTTGGACCCATGAAGGATGTAAAAGAGCCAAGAATGTGCATAGAGATACTGTTTCTTCTTGCCGTACAGCGAGGTCTCTAAAGTCAGCTCGGGATTTATTCATTCATTCATTCAATATATAGCTTTGAGCGGAGTTATTACACTCCTCTTACGCCAATCACGATTTTGGAAATTGAAAAGAGAAACAGATAACGTATACGTAGTCCCCAAGATCAAAAATATGCGTAGTTCCTGGAACCACATCCAACCGCCGTGAAGGCGAATAAAAGACTCCTCGGAGTTTATTCGTTCGTTCGTTCGGTATATGGCTTTAGGTAGTAAGGTAGTAAGGTATACCCATACACCATTCTCCAGCTGCGACGGGATTTATTCTTAAGCCAGCGGCACACGATGCTTGTTTTTGTGCTGGATTGCTTGCTGGATGAAAATACTGCGTTCTGATTGGTACATTTCCGAAGATGAATGGAAATGCACCAATCAAAACGCAGTATTTTCATCCAGCAAGCAATCCAGCACGAAAACAAGCACCGTGTGCCGCTGGCTTTATACCAGCAGAGAGAAGCCTGAGAGCGGGCATGGCTGCATTTACAGCGTTATGAAAAAGTTGGCTGATTCGAAGCGCCAACTGGGTCCATTTTTCATGGACATTAACTACTAAGCCAATGTCCACGATTTGTTGGTACTATTCCGTGTTATGTCCATAATTATTTGGTTCTGTTCTGTGCTATGTTCCTGAGCGGGCTAGATTAGTTAGATAAAAACGAAGAATCGGTCTTTGTCTCATCACCAGCGAATACAATCGCGACGAAGCGAGCTAGCAGCGATGTTATTGCAAGGCAGACGTCGTCATCCCCCATTTCACCCCTTTGTTTTCCTTTCCACATTGTTTTATATTCATAATTCGGGAAGAAAATAATTTCGAGAGTTCGGATGATTTCTAGCAATGACGCGACAGAGATAACGCGCGGCCACATTAATTTATCATGACTTTTATATTACTTATAGTTACATAAACGCCCATATATGCAAATTATAGATAATTATTGCGCGTATAAATCTTTTCCTTTCTGTAGGAGGTTTTTGGCTGTTTCGGTTACTTTCCTCTACATTTATATTGATGAGTTGAAGCACTTGTTTCTACGAGATGTTTAAAACTCGGCTGACTTTACGAGTGTTAACACTCGTAACTGGACCTAAGTAAGACTTACGTTTAAGCGAATGTTCTCTTGAAACTGAAAACATTAATAATAATAATAATGATAATTATATTTCTATTTATCTTTTTTTCTATACTATCTAACTATCTATCTATCTATTTCTCTATATCTATCTATCCATCTATCTATTTATTTATCTATCCATCTATCTGTCTATCTATTTATCCATCTATATCTATCTCTATATCTATCTATCTATCTATCTATCTATTTATCCATCTATCTTTTTTCTTCCTATGTATCATTGCAACCTATCCTGTTCTATCCATATTTCTTGCAAATGCAAACAATTAATATTACATTAATTTTTATATTAAAATATATTTTTTATACTATAACATGCTGAATTAATAATTAATAAAATTTAACAGGTTATACTATAAAAACAAACACTTACGTAAAAAAATTATTATATTATTAAAAAGTTTGCATTTATTTTTTGACGGAGATCACCATTTTCTCGCGGTTTCCGTTGAGCAACAATATGCACGTTATCTATTCGTAAAATTAAATAATAAAGTAAAATTAAATAAAAATAAATAATAATAATTGAAATATGATAATAAAACTAATTTCTTCTTTTACTAGACTAAATTTATTTTTGCTACGAAAAGAAAAATGTAACAATGGAATATCTTTTACAAAACAAATAACATTTCATTTAATTTTTAATTTAAATTTATTAGCATAAATAAATTATTCTGTCATATACTTTAATAACAAATCATTTTTAAAAGATGTATATATTGGCTAAGAGTGGATTTCTATTAACTTTTCGTCTCTCATTATAATTCTCTCTTCTTTATTTGTGCATTAATACTAAATATTCTTTATATACATATACATTATATATGTGTCATTTATTTATATATATATATTGTCATATAATTAATATATTTAACCAAGCCGTAAGAACACGAGAAAAGAGGAAGAGCGAGCAAGTGCGCGAGAGAGAGAAAGAACGAGCGAGAGAGAGAGAGAAAGAGCGAGGTATAGGAGTAGCGAGAAAAATCTCGCGGCTCACGCAGTCAATAAGCTAGACGAGCGGGAAAGAAACAGATAATATGTCGACGCTCGTCTAGTCTCCCATGTGCTACCTCGCGTGCGTGAAAAATAATTCCTCGCTTCGCACGTTCCCTTGATACGAGACGCTACCGCGTCTTTTGATGTCTCTGGAGCGTGAAAGATGAAAGAAAAGCGGAGAGATGTTCGCTTAGCGATAAGATCGCTGCTACCTCGCCTCGTGTTTACTGCCGCGCGCCGCTCAGTAGTGAGACAAAGACGGAACGATTGTCTGTCGTCTGTCTTTTTCTAATCTACTATCCATTGTATGGAAGTAGTACGGACACGAACCTAGGCGCATTTTACTTTTATCACCGTGAAAGTGCGCCTAGCGGACGTAGTTTAGGCGCATTTTGGTCAGATGGCGTATCTAAAATGCGCCTAGCCGTATCCCCCGAAATATGGCCGGTCTCATTCTTCTCTCTGCTCTTACTGCTATTGTAGACGAGCCTTCATAGAGCCAATAAATTCAAATGGGAGAGATTCAATTGGATACAAAGTATAATAATTAGACCTAGTAATTTACCAGATAAAATTTTGTTCCAATTGGTTGTGTCCAATTGTGCCATGTTCAATTGGGTCCCTCTTCAAAAAGATAAGACATATGTGACTATCTTTAAAGCCCATTCTACATTAGTCGCAATTTTCAAGCAAATTAACCAATTACAATCGATTATTCTTCGATCAGAAAGAAAATAATCGACTGTGATTGGTCAATTGCTTGTGACTTATGACTAATGTAGAATAGGCTAAGGCCTAGTCTACAATAAGTGTCGTAATTTGTAAACCGTAAGAATTGGCGAATCACAGTCGATTATTACAAAAATAATCGGCTATAATTGATCAGTTGTCCGGCTTACAGCTTACAACACTTATTATACACCAGGCCTAAGGCAACAACAGCCGACTTGCGATACTTCCAAGATAGCCTATAACGTAGTGCGCATGCGTTTGATATCCGATACCGACATACGACATATTGCAAAACCGGCCTTGTTCTTTGGCGTTGCCGCGTTTTGTGTGCAGGAACTAACCCAGGCTTTCAGGCTTGAATCGTTCGTGCGTACAGTGGTCGCGTCATTCATCGAAGTTTACTGAGGCAGGTGAACGGGGAACGAGACAAGTCTCTCGAGAACAAAGTTCGTGTATCACGGCAATTTACAAATTCACACAGGCATGTTGCACGTCATTGTTTATTGTTCTCCATTGCCCGGCATAGATATCGACAATATCGACTGCTTGTTGATGTAACGTAATCCTTGATAAGCAATAGTTGTATCATACTGATTCCATATCATGATAATACTATGATGCGCCTAAACTCTGCTGCTTTCTTTGTTTCCATTGCCCAATAATGTGTATTTCGATCAAGGAGCATCTACGATTTTCTTTTAATTCTGGATTCTCTATTGCCTCTCTTGTAGTACTTGTGGGAGAGGATAATCGATATTTATGTTTTTTTCACTCGCGGATTCGCATACACTATGTTTATCTGATCGTGTGATTGATTCTGATAAGTTGCAAGTATAATTTATTGAATCATGGTTCGACGGTACTCTTGATTGGTTATGATTCTGGACAATTAGTATGCTTATAATAGGGATCAAGAGACAAGCTTAGATATAAATATACTTAGTAGACATGTATTTTAACTAATTTATATAGGAGTAAATTTAAGAATAATTTGAACAAATTAAATAATTTAGGAATAAAAGACAATTTTTATAGCTTTATAGCAGAGAAAATATAATTACTGCATATAAACTATGTATATATAAGTAATAAACAACATATATTATTTTAATCAATAATTTTCAGTTTACAGTGTACAGAATATATGCAGAAATGCAATTTCCATATATTTCATTATTTATGAATTAAAGCGTTCATTTAAATCTAACATATGTTATCTCATTACAGAAATGTCTGAGTCAGATCTCTTAGCTACTGATCATATTGATGGTCTGGATGGTCTTGAAAATGGTCAAGATGGAGATGCTATTATGCAATGTGATGGTGTAAAGCGTGAAATAAATGAAGCAAATGTTGACGATCCTGTAAACTATTATCATTTCTTAATATCATTATTTATTTAGAAAATTATATTTATTTGGAATTTAAATATCTTCTATAACTTAGGAGTTGGAGGCTATAAAAGCAAGAGTTCGAGAAATGGAGGAAGAAGCTGAGAAATTAAAACAACTTCAATCTGAGGTGGATAAACAAATGAACATGGGTAGCCCACCTGGTATCAGTAAGTTTACAAATTTATATTTTTCATTAAAACAAATATGTGTATAAATATTTGTTATGTGTAAGTGAAATTGTATATTACGATTGTTTTTATTATGACAATATTTATTATTAAATTTTCTCAGCAAGCCCTTTAAACATGTCCTTGGAGGATAAAATGGAAGTTGATAATCGATCTATTTATGTTGGCAATGTAAGTTTGATACTATACACATGTCATCATGTAACGCATATTGTACATGTGATACAACGTGTGATAAACTATTAGACTTACTACTATTTATACTAATATTTATTTATTATTTCACGTAACTGCAGGTTGATTATGGTGCTACTGCAGAAGAATTAGAGCAACATTTTCATGGTTGTGGCAGTGTGAATAGAGTAACAATTCTCTGTAATAAATTCGATGGTCATCCTAAAGGTTTTGCTTATATTGAATTTGCTGAACGCGACTCAGTACAAACAGCTATGGCTATGGATGAATCTATGTTTAGAGGACGTCAAATTAAAGTAATGCCAAAAAGAACAAATAAGCCTGGTTTCTCTATGACAAACAGGTAATGCTTTAATTAATATACTGTAATAATAATGCAATAACTTGAATAATAATGCAGAGAGATAAAAGCTACTTCATAAAAATACTAATCTAAATATTGAAGTTTTTTGCAAATTTTTGAAGAATATTTCGAGAATATTTCTAATCGTATCTACATTTACAGGGGTCCCAGAGGTGCCCGGGGTTATCGAGGTATGACTAGAGGAATTATTCGCGGTAGTGCATATTATGGATACAGACCTACAAGGCGGCCTAGGTAATTAGTCACTGCTGACTTAGCAATTTGTTGTTATTGAACAATGTTAACTAACTGTTAACATTGTTCTGTTAACATTAACAATGTTAACAAACTAATTACACCAATTTACAATTTTTTTTGCAGGACTTACAGACGCGGATATTATATGCCATATTGACCATTTTAAAGTACGACGACATTCTACAAATATCAAGGTATGTTTTTATTTCAGGCTATACTATCCACACTGTAATATTCGTTTAATGTTCAAAGAAAAATTCTCAGTAAAAACAAATTTTATGAAATTATTTGTTATCTATTGTATTATTTTGTATTGATCGTATCGAAAGCATTTTGTAACTTTTCAAGTAATGTGGAAAGGTGATAAATTATACAAAAGAGAACGTTTCTTTGGACAATATGAATTTCGTACATTTTGCTACATTTTGACTCGAGAAAAGACCAGGAATAGTGACATTGTGTGTGCAATAATTCCAATGAAGTAGTAGCTAACAGATTAATTCGGATGTAAAATAGAACGATTATTATTAATAATCGGATCATTATTAATAATCTTTTGATGCGAAGACATTAAAACGTAAAGAAATAGAAATATACTTTGCTGGTCGTTTCTTAACCCAAAACGGACAACATATTGACAGTAACCACTGTTTGACTTACCCTTTGGTGTACTAATCTGATGTATCTATATGATCGAATTTGTAACCTGATGATTTATATGTCCAATAAAACTAGAGTCATGAAGAAGTTCACAGTTACCTATGGACTTTATTTATTGGATATGATATATATGATATTTAGATACATTGGTGTTGACACTTGGCCATAAAGAAAATCTATACTGTTAAATAACAATATACGAAATTGTGAGATAGAAACTGTTTTATTTTACTCTTCGGAACTTTTTGCTATTTTTGTTACAAGGAAGTTGCGTGCGTTTTTGGTAACGTCAATTGAACGGGCACGTCGTATGTATAGATTGAAAGTATAAAGTATGGCCTTGTGAGATATAATATTATACGGATTGTAAGTTTTTTTGTGGAAAATTTGACTCACAATTCGATTCACACAAAAAACTTACAAGCACATGTCATCATGCATTCCACTGAAAAGCAGCTGAGATATTTAAGTAAATTCTTATCATATGTCCACAGAAAAAAAAACAGATACGATGGGAAAAAAAAGAGAAAGAAAAACATCATGTCAAAAGAAAAAATAAAGATTGGAGAAAGATGGGCACAATTAAAGATATTTGATTTATGATCATCATATAAAACTACAGATGTAGGTCAGCGATCATTCACTATTGTAGTTCAATCAATCTGTTAAGAGTTTCAGTAACGATATGCCAAATTTCGTTAAGACCAGTTAGACCTTTTGTATCAGCCTTAGAACTTTTGTTTTCAGAATGTTTTATTTTATTTTTTACACTTTATATATGCTTCGATTGTATATCTTGTGTGGCAAAGTATAAAATATACATTATAGTAGCAAGCATAGAGAGAGAGAGAGAGAGAGAGAGAGAGAGAGAGAGAGAGAGAGAGAGAGAGAGAGAAAGGGAGATAGAAAGAGAAAGAGAGAGAAGAAACAGCAAGATAAAGAGAGACGAAACGATCGATTTTAGTTGGAGAATTCAGTTATAATTGCGCGACGTAGATGAGATATTCGATTATTCGTATTGTTTAACATCTCATTGTACATGCACGTGCAAATTATATACATAAAAAAAATTCAATAGTGTACACTGCGTCATTAATTTTGTATGGAAATGATACTAAATGTGTTTATTCACGAAAAGCAAAATATATTCTAGTACGTGGCTCACAACACAAATTGTTATCCTTATATAATATATTATCGAATTCACTTTTCAAGCGGTCTATAATTCGCGATAGTATTCGGGATAGAATTCTATTTATAATTTTACGCGTAACGCGGGAAACATTTGTAGATTTATAGATATACGTACATGTACGTGCATATATGTATAAGACGTAATCCTGATTCTTCAACTGTTTCCTCACAAGTAGAATTCTATTCCGGATCTTATCTCGAGTGACAGATCGTCTGAAGTAGACTTTGGACGTGAGAGATAGGTGCATTCTGAAAAATATCGATAATACCCACGATATGCTTGATAAATCTCCCTTATGAGCACTTTTGATAATTATACAATATGTGCGATATATAATTGAACATTTCTACATAATGGAACTGTGATGAATAAAATTCAGAAAGCTAGAAATCTTGAGATGTAAGAATGTTGTAACTTGTTACGAGATTTTACTTTATATGCAGATATTTCGATGCTGTTAAAATACTTGAAATTCTCCCGAAAATAGTTATCAGAACATTTCATCAGAATAGAGCTCACGAATTTTGAAGCATATTTTGATTCTCAACTGCATTTCAAAATACTCGTAAGGGATACTGCATCTATATCGATGATGACGATATGTTTCATTGTGCACTTGATCCCGCACTATTTGATCGTAGTAAGTTCTTCACGGGTACGTTAAACGAATCAATAATTTTTATAAATAATAGGTAAATGATAATACGAGTCTCTACAAAGAATTGACTGAAATTCAAAAGTGCATATTAAATTTAATCCCGTTCCTACGTAGCATCTCTAAAGATATATGTAAAAATTCTCGGAAAATCGATACACTCGAAATCGTAAAAGCTGAAAAATACTTTGATATAAAGAAAAAGAAAAAAAAAATTAATAGCCAACTCAAGTTTATATACACATATAAGCATGTCCGTATTATAGCATAGTCTCTTTTTTATATAAAACGATACAGAGATAACATATAATTGTAGGGATAATCTATAGTATAATATCTATACGTGTTATTAAGGCTGATACACGACGGATATACCGTGGCAAATAGAAATAAAATTGCCTGAATATTAATATCGATATTTTAATAGATCATGATTTTATTGTTGTTATATATGTTTATGTCGCCTGTTCTCGACGTGATAAGTATACCGTGTCGCATCGATCTTCACAGTGTGGTGTCATGAAATGACACTTAAAAGATAATGATTAAAAGAAAAAGAAATTGAACTACAAAGTGAATGTTTAGAATAATATCATATAACTATAATTTGTAGTGAATTTTGTATGCATGATAAGTGAAAGTTGCGGCAGGTGATTTGTTAATTTATCACAGCTCCATTGTATGATACGTGCTGCATTTGCACATTTCTTCCCTGTGTGCAACTTTTTTGTATGCAACTTTCATTTATTCGACAACACTAACTATACATCCTCTCAGTTCTATCTGGGACATTATTGCTACTAATAATATGTAAAATGCGTGTAAAACCTCATATTTCTGAGACTGTGTTAAGGTATTAGGGGGAGTGCAGAGTTTCAACACATTTAATCGATCGAGCCACATTTCGTAATGTTACTTCCATGTCGCTAAGTATTTTGCAGGTGCGGCGCAGCATCAGCATCAATTGAGTGCTAATGATACAAATTTCATGAACAATTTTTACGTTTCATTAAGGAAAAGAAAAAAAAAGTAATTAAGAGATATGTGTATTATAAAAAAAAATGTAAATGAAATGAGTGGTAAATAAAGATTTTCTTGGCTTACGTAAGGAACTCCTCGGTGTACTTGCTTTTATGTAAGATACGGACACCTTCAGATATGTAGTTTAAATTTATATTTAGTATATTCAGCTTGTTTAACAATTTATTACTAATACACGGTATAATATATATGATTAAGGAAAACGAGGAAACGAGAAACGAGGAGGCTTCAAAGATTGCACAACACATAGAGGCTGGCATAATATGTTTATTAACATTCAGTCCAAATTGACGCTCTTTCTTTCTCTTTTTACATTTTAGATCAACGTGTAATGATATCAGAAGAATAAATTTCGTTTATATAAATTCATCATATTTTAATAACAGATATAATCTAAATATTAAAATGTATTTCTCTTTTTTATTACAAACTCTGATTACTTTTTTTTATTTTCTTTTGTATAATCTCTGAAGGCATGTAATGCGCAATCAATTTTTAAGAAGTTTTCTTTCTTTGTCCTTTTTTTATCAATATTTAGTACAATGAAGACTTCGTGAAGTATAATCATTAACAAAATAGATTGAAGATCTGAATTTGAAGCGTTTAAAAAGTATGACACCCATTCAATAAAATATAATTACTTCATAACACTTCGTCGCGCGTACACATGCACTGTAATTTCATGGGATCGTAATAAAACAAAGATTGGCGTAATCTCTCGCAAGAAAAGTATATACATATCTATATATATTATATTGAAGACTTCAGTCTAAAAGTTCCAAGCCATATATCAACACGTTGACTGTCATGATTAGTTTCCATGGATATCGGTCCAGAACTTAAAGTAATACCAAAGTTCACCGAGTTGGCCAAAGTTACTGAGTAATCAAAAAGTATAGCAAATATACATTCAAATGTACAATAGCAATATACAATAATAAATATACAATTATTATTTTGAAATTTCCATATTCGTCCAAGGTGAATATAGCGTTAATTTATGGTTCATTCGTTTTTTATGCGTGGAATCAAACCATGCGAGCTCATGGCTATTCCATACATTTTTAACTTTATCGAAGAGAAACGTGTGCATGCAAGTGTACAGAAGAAAGAAAGCTGTACACATTTCTTCATGTATGTATTTGTTAATTTGCTTTATTAGCTCCCCGTGTTTACTATATGTTTTAGTCGCTGATTAGCGATCAACCATGTTTTCACGTAGTGCAATTAACGTAGTTCCAATTAATATGCTGCAAGATCACAGCGTCAATTACCGGTGAGCTTCATGGAACACACATGGCAGTCAACGCGTTAAGCATCTTAGGTAGGTATTTCACGACTACTTCCTCTTTGAATCCATGGACTCGTCCATGTCTGTGAGACAGTTTCATCGAAAATTGATACGACATCATATTTCTCGTAATATTTTAAACTTTAATATTAAATAAAACCTCACTTCTCTTGTGTTGAAACAAAATTCATTAGAAATGATTTGTAAACTGTCGTTAGAAGCAGAGAAACAATAACTCTATGGTTTGATGTACCATTTATTTTATCTCTTCGTCAACTGCAAGCGCCACGTAAAAAGAAGATAACTTGATTGTTATTTTCCTTATATCAAATATATACTAATACAATTCATATGGTGTCAGTTCTTTCGCAATCGAAATGTGTACAATTATCCAAATCAATTGTACAATTTAAGATAAAAATTAGACTAGAATCTGAAATATAAGTTGTATCGAAGCATCCATATTTCGCTAAATAAATCATAGAAACATCTTGGAACGTTATAAACACGCCGGTATGTCCATTTATAAGACTTTAAAATGTACCATAAACATTAGTATAAGCATTAATAATATAATACGAACGTTTCACGAAGATAAATTAGCACGCACGCATACTTATTTCTTCTCTTTAAGTAAATTCACTTTTATCTTCCGTTTCTTAATTTTAATGTCTCTACATCATATTGTAGGAGCTATGCAATTTATTTTGAAGTAATAAATTCATTATACCCCCCTTCCCTTATTGGCTTCTTCCGTATACCTATTGATAAGTAATTTAAACGTCTCTCTGAAACTAACCTTATATATAACAATTATATATGTATATGTATGTATATATATATATATATATACACACATACACATATTATATACATTTACATATATATTCATTTATACTTATTCTTCAATTCAGATCTTCAATTCTCAGATCTAGCGAGTTTAGCCACAGTTTCATTAACTTCTCAATTGCAATTAGAATATGTTTGGACTTGTTTGTTTGTCGTGTTTGATTGCAGTCTGTCTCCGTGATATAAATATCCATGGCCATATATCTTCTTCCTTTTTTTCTTTTTAAATTCATTTGGTCTAAAGAACAGGATATAGAGGATTGCATTAAGATAAACATTGACTAGAATACCATGCGGTATTTAACTTTCAAATGGGAAAGCAACAGCTGTCGTTAAGAATTTAATTCGAGCGTTTCCAAAATCGATTGGCATAGACTTTGCAAATTCGGTTGCGTCGTGTATTCCGTATGCGTTTTCTCCAGTTGCTTTAACGTCTCTACTCCGCCTTCTCTGATCAACATCACGCAATAACGTTTCGCTGAAAACAAAGCACGCGGTTATTACTGCTGGCATCTCGAAAGTTATGTTTTCTTTTTGCAGGAATCAATGATGTCGATTACGACAGAAAAAGAAAACAAAATATAACTATTGTCCTACAATTGAGAAACGTTATTATACATGTACTGATGTGGAGTATAGAGACTCTCTTTTACTTGCGTATTGTTTCACCAGGTCGTTACTCTCATGTTCAACCTACATCAAGACATAAAGTTCACATGGACTTACGATTCTTTGTGCATACGTGATGAATCGCCCATACCGCCCAGAGCTGAACCGGATATGCGTCCGCGCAACGTAGCAGCGGGAAGAATGGTTGAAAGCTGCGGTAGGCGACCATTTCTCCTTGCGGGATTCGCCAGTGGGTCACAGCATGAACCAGTTGGTCTAACAGTTGCTCCCTGCTCGGTTGCGACGGCATACTGTACCAAGACTGGGGACCGTCACTGAGCAAATGCGCGGCAATACCGGCCGCAAAATAAGACACATCAATGTGCTCGGAGTCGAGCAGCATCGACAGCATTTTGATGAATCGCGGTTGCATAAGCCGTGGCCTCAAGTGATCAACCTGAAACGTTCAACGCAAGAGAACGTTATGTCACAGTATATTATTATTAATGTTATTATTATTATCGTTAATTATATCGTGTTTTGCAGCACCATCAAGGATATTCGAGATACGAACCTCCGCGATATTATTCAGCAAACCGAGGACCTTAGTCTCTACGCTGGACTCGCCCTGGAAGTTGTCCAGTACCTCGAGAAACAATTCCATTCCACCCTCATCGAGAAAAACCTTACAGGTAACGGCACTCTCATCCGTTAGGTTCCATAAGGCGCTCAAGGTAAATTTCATTGTGATGTCGACTACCCGGGACTCGACTTTGGATCGAACCATCGCGAGCAGCTTCAACATGTATTGCGGCTGTGCGCCGAGCATGGACGTCTCCACCGTCGAGATCTTTGCCGCCAATATCGAACAGATCGCCACGGACATTCGATTCATGGACGCGTCGTCAAACGTCGACAAGCAATTCATAACTAATCTTGCACATCTGTCAAATCAAAAGCGTTTCTATCAGCTTGACGTGTACATAGGTTGGCCATATTTTGCGAATATTCATTCCACATGCACTGCACTGAAATTTCAATACCTGTCCAACGTGGATATATTGTCAACTTACAGTTTGCAGTTCGTTTTATACGCGCAAAAAGATTTCACCTACGTAAATACATCATATCTTCTATTCGTTACATATTAGAAACAATATTAACGAAGTAAGTTATCTTTGATTTCGATTCTACTACAACACAAATACTCGAGTACAGATACTTTTGCGAATAATCAGGAGCCTAGGCAAAATCAGAATATTATCATATATATAAAAGCGGATATTATAATAAAAATGATATATCTTCCCCTACTATGAGACATTTAACACTGTTTTAGTAAGATTAGATGTATAGAATCTCAACGTTTTTACACATAACGAATATGTATAAAGGCATATCAACACGACATTTGTATGACTAAATCCAAAGAACTATTTAATGACGTGTATACGACATTCTCTTGCACTGTTGTGATCAACTTCCATTCACAAAAAGAGATAGCACTTCTACGATACCACTAGCACTGTTATTATCGAGAATTTTGCATATCGCAACAGACAATACGCAAAACATCGAGAAACATTTCGCGGGCTTAAAAGATATTGAAATCTCAGTTTGTATGTAAAGTCACGTTTACATCACCAATCAAGACGCATAGCTACCTATATTTGTCAAACGCAACATCCTGCAGGATTCGATCGCTGCATAGAGTCAATAGAGTGTTCTTTTGAAGCTGATGATTATTCGGATATGATTCCATTGCCAGCAATGTTAATTCAACTATCTGCTTAAGTATCGATGGATGAATCATCAGGGCCAATTCACCCTTCGTTAGATTATAAATACATGCGGTAGCTGCCATTTGTACACGAAATTCCTGCGGATGCTCTCTCATGCCGGGTAACACTAATTTTATCACATCGACTCGTGGCTCGAGAAAATTTGGTGTCAAACGGAACAAATTAAATAGACATTTCTGAAGGTATATCGGTCTGTACGTATACCTTCTAAGGGCTTCCAAAATTTGAGATTCTGTTGCCGTACCACTGATCTGAAGCAAAAGATAGACACAATGTGCATTATCTCGTGCCGATTCTTACTCGTTGATCGAACGAACATTTAATGTCGTTTACTTATTTAGGTTCAATTATCTGTATATTATTCGGCTTGATTCTATGATCGATGGTGATTCCTATGATTTGCAAATGGAAATTGATTGTGTGTAGAAAATACAAGTTTGATAAAATTAACGTACCAATAGAGTCGATGACATCAAACACTAAGACGTTATAATAATCCTTCCATGACATGTACAGTATAACTGTATACTTTTGTGCAAAATGTGGTGCAATATACAATGATATAATAAAACAGTATCGTTACAAATAATAGGAAAAGGGATATAAGATAGATAACATGAGAGATACGAGAATATCAAGTTTTGCGTAAATGACGACAACAATAATCGGCACTGTGTGTTTTCAATAATAATACTGCACATATCCAGAAAAGATTCAGTAGTCTAATAAAATATAATGTAACAAAATATTGATTCCAACTTTTTTATACATACTAGAACGTAACTAATAGATAGAGAGACAGTGTATGGTTGCATAATTAATTAATTAACGTTGCAACAACTTACAACAAGCTCGGGTTTGTAATCCTCATGGGTCGAATCTATGAAACTTTCGTCGTAGCAAACGTCAGAATGCACTAGTCCTAGGAACCTCAGGCGCATATGCGACGCAATGAAATTTTTTAAATCTTTCGGATTTATGTCATCTTTACCTAAATAGTAAATATTGTATTATATATCGTATCATATGTATCATACATATTGCATATTATATTATCATATATAATATGAATATCATACGTATGGAATAGTTGTTATTTCTTAACCAGTAATCGCACGAATTTCAATGTACAAAAATTAAAGAATGATCTTCACAGAATGATTTTTGTAGAATTACAGACTCATCAGATAGCTTGTTCAAGTAGCGCATATTACTTACCCGACAAGTCTAAGGTTGTCAAATGTGGCATGCAATGCAGAGCCCTTAAAAAGTCTGTTATTTTTAGCCTAGCAGGTGCGAACATTTCGAAAGCGTGTGCGTCTTTCTCGTCGGAAATGTCTAAATGCCTTAATTCATTCAGCTCCAGTAACACTGGTATCAGGTTACCGCAACCGCTTATCTTTAAATTATACATATTTAATGTCTTTAAACGATCTTTACATTTCCTTAGTGGTGTTATATCGTCGACTCTCGTACAAGATATATCTAAGCTCTCTAAAAGGGGAAGATCTTCGACTACTATGTCCAAGCCATGTTTATTAAATTCTGTTCCTGAGACATTCAAGGTATGAAGTGCCCTCAATTTGCTTAACGTTACTACCACGCAATGCCTATAACGAAACGTGTGCAAAAAATATAAATATCAATCGTCACGAGGGTCTCTCTGGAGATCGACTTAAAGAGATTAGGCAAGAAGAAAGAGCTTGGTGCTCGATAATAACCTTGAACAATCCATAAAGCTTCCTTTAGCTACACTTAGCGACCTAAGATTTTGTAAACTCCAATCGCCTAAACAGCTAATTAAATCATTAACAGTGATTTTAAGTCCATTTACTATTAAATCTACAACTTTATGCTGCTTAAGAACCCTTAAGCCTTTAGCTGATAATGTCGATGCGTCTTTCAGCCGTACATGCCTGAAAAGAAGGAGAAATTAATCGAGATTTGCGGAGACGCACACGTGGATTATTCGCATTCCTCTCCCACAAGCGCAAATTAGGACGAACAACGCGAATAACATAAGAATCTCTCATCGTTACCTTAGCCTAGTGGTCTTTGAGTCGAAGAGCGTAATAGTCAGGTCAGATAATGTTTTCTTCTCACATAGGTTGGATAATAATTGCTCGGACACCTCGGCCGGCAAGAAGGCGTCCGGATGCCTAAAGGTAAGCCGTGTCGCGGAGCTGGTGGGAGCATCGTTAGACGATGTTCTACCTGTTGTAGTATCAAAAGCGAATTCTTCTGTGCTATTATTGTTCACTGTACAGATATCAGGTCGATCTAAAACTTATGCAGTTTTTAATTCCGCAGAACGGGCAGTGCGCGCGAGAGAGCTGGTGGAGAGCTTTTCGCTTGTCCACATTCGCGGGATACACACTCACCGGAAACTGTAGCGCCGGGGGAATGCACATTCGTGTCGCCTAGATGTACCTCGCATAAGCCTAGAACGTTACCACATATGAAGTCGATGCACACTTCCTGGAGACTTCTCGGAGACTCGAACATCTTATACTTCTGCTGTCATCCGTGCTACCTCCGTAGGGCTCTCTCTCTCTCTCTCTCTCTCTCTCTCTCTCTCTCTCTCTCTCTCTCTCTCTCTCTCTCTCTCTCTCTCTCTTTCTCTCTTTCTTTCTCTCGGTACGTTCTTTTTTATCGACTTCCTACGGAGCACCGTGCCTCCTCGCGCTCACGGTCCCATACCTTAGACACAACACAAACGGAGAAAATCTGTCAGCACCTCGTAATCCCTCTTAACCTTAATCTCCCTCTTCCTCACTCTTGCTTGCTCGCTCGCTTTCTCTCTTTCTCTCTCACTCCCGCGCGTGCGATACGTCCGAATACGGAATTATATCTGCCCGTACACTGAATCGCGTATCACGGGGATCGTGGCGCGCTGACGTGCGAGAGCAAGAGAAAGAAAAAGAGAGAGAGAGAGAGAACGAGAATTCCCGTCCACGAGTGCATATACACACGAAGCTACACACGTCAAAATAGTGTCACGTGAATCGCGCGAGAGAGCTCGCCCCTAACTGTACAACTGACGGCAGACCGCGCACACTTTCTCGCGTCTTCAAGATCGCCCGTCGCGGAAACGCAGCGGCCACGGGAAAGAGAGCGAGAGCGCGCTCTCCTCACCCGCATCTTGTTCTCGCAAAATCTTTCAAGTGGCGATTACGTAATAATAATAATAATAATAATAACAACAATAATGCACACGAAAGCACAGAACACAATGAGCACAGCTGAGCATCCTCGTTACGCTATGCAACGTCTAAACACTACCTACCATTCGTCGCGAAGCGCGTATCGAAATTGCGAGTAAACCGCGAATTCTCTCTCTCTCTCTCTCTCTCTCTCTCTCTCTTTTTCTCACTTTATCTCCGTCCTTCACTTCACACGAGCGAGCGAGTTCACGGCGCGTTTATCGCGTGCCGTCGTCGAAGATATGCAAGCTGTGGACAACCTCGACAAGATCGGGTAATTCGCGTGCATTGGGTGACTCGGCCACGCAGAACGGCCGGAGGATATTCGAGATAACCGCGAAAACTGCGGACTCTCATGTGTCACAGTGACGCCATATTGACTCGCCAAATGTCAAAACAGACCAAAAAAAGAGCGCAGCCGTGTCATCGTGTCGCTCTCGTCGTCGTCGTCGTCGTCGTCGTCATCATCGTCGTCGACGGCGTGGGCGGGCGCGACACGCGCACGACGCTAATGCGAATTGCAGCGACACTCGCGTGTCTCTCCCTCTCTTTCTTTCAACAATGCCCACAGCTGATCTCGCGCTCTCGCGCGAGAATCGGAGCAATTTCCGAGATATCTCCCGACCTCGTTTCGTTCGACGTGTAAGCGTCGTGTGCACGTACGCACGCACGCACGTAGAACGCATATTACCTCCTTTCGATGGGGACGTGGTGGAACATGACATCCGTCGACGCTTTATTGCCCATATTAATCGCGAGCGCGCGAACGATGCTCTGATTTCCATGTACAGCGCGATGCGAGAGCAAGAGGCGGCCGGCGATCGTTCGCTGTCGCGATCACTGCCGTAATTGTCGTCGTCGTCGTCGTCGCGGTGGTCTGTTTTTTCGCATTCGCGTCTCCTGGGTTTCGCTGTGACCGCCCGCAAATAGTCACATTGGTTATTGACACACCAATATGGCGGTGAAGTGGAGAAAGATGGGCTTGTGCGGCCAGCGTGCGTCGTGATCTCTCGTTCCCGGTGCGGTGAGAATTTTCCCAGGTAACTTCCGGCGTCGACGTGACCAGCCACCGTAGCGGCGGCCGCGGTCGATGCGAGTCCCTACCTCGTGGCGAGAGACAGCGAGAGATCTGCGAGTTTTGATTGAGCGAACGTGAAAGAGGTTGCCAAGTCGATGTGAAGCCGAGAACAAGGAGGGAAGATTGCAGCAGTCTAGGAATCTAGGCGTGTTTGCGAGTTGCGTAAATACACAAAATATGACTGCATCGTTCGGAAAAGTAATGCGCACTAGTGTCAAACGTCCCGCCTCACTTGGCATCCCATCTTCGATGGCCCAGGAGAGATAAGTCAAGTGAGAAGTACGTGTTTCTCAATCGTGTGTGTACAGTTATTATAAATATTCATGCACTTGCAACTGCGCTTGGATTCTGACCGGTCTCTCGCTCTCTTTGCCGTTTGATTCTCGACTTTATGTATCTCGTAGTCGTCGTGTAATGTACAGTGTTTATTCTATGATTCTTTGATTCGTGTGTCGTTTTAGGAAAATTTAATGAGCATTAACAGCAACAAGAAGGCTGTGACACAGAGTAACATGGAAGATTATTCTCTAGCTTGAATATTGATTGGATCTCTTTATGTTGGACTTATCAATTTTAAGAAAAACCATTATGTGCCTCTGTTTAAGTTTCTCTGTGTTGCTTTTATCTCTGTATCTATCCTTTAAAATGTATTGTAAGGCAAACTGTGGTAAATAAAGGAGCAGAACTAGTATAGAAATAAAAGATTCATTTCTAGAAATCTTTTCACATGCGCACAAGAATCTACGGATAAACTAATCACAAACATTCTTTTGTGTTTATCATTTTATTTAGGTTTTGTGCTTGAATTAAAGTGATTCATTATAGTCTATTTCACTATATTATTTACCTGATGACATAAATTTTATGTGTTATGAAGTGTTTTTAGAATATGTTATTCTGAATTTTTTCAGGTTTAAACTGAGACCTGTTAACGGCAGCTATAACCATGGTATGACCCTTTAGTTGGGTGAAGTAATGTTAGAAAATAATTAACATTCTCAATTGCTGTACCTTTGCTCTTGGGCTCTTTTGAAAGATGCCAAGTTTACGGAAGAAAGTTGCTGGCTTCATGCGCCAACTGTCTATCAGTAATTTGGCTGGAGCTGTGGAGAATATTGGTCATGGGGAGCAGCCACTTAGAAGCCCACAGTCATTGACTCAGGACTTTCCTGGTGGCTGTTTCATCACACGCTATCTCAGTGGGTAAGTATCAGAGTTAATGGTGGAGTTAATTAGACACAGTTGGTTTATTTTCAGTATATGTATTTGATATTACATTTGTCTGGCAAAAGATACTTTTTTTGTTACGTACAATTAAATCTTTCATTACAGATAAAATAAAATTTTATGTACTGTTTTAGTAGTGCTTTCTGTACAACATTCATAACTTCTTCATATAACATTTAAACAATGTTCCCTGTTTTTAGCTATATTCTACACTACAGATTCTATATAAAGGGTGTGTAACGGCATACAACAGCATGTCCGACATATACTCATATATGTCGACATTTTTTTAGGATAGAAACGAAACAAGAAGGACCACCAATTCTTCATGGTAGAAATCCAGAAGAATTACCGATCAAACAACTCGACAACTTTCAAGAGAATGGAGAGATATTCGCAGCCTACACCGGTCCTGATAGTGGTCTTACGGCAGTTAATCTGCAGCAAAAGCACTTAAGTATTAGCGATACAGATATTGATTACATTGACATGCTAGATCAGAATGAGCAGTATAGAAGTGGTGAGTCGATAACAATGACATTTTATTGACGCAACTCGCATTATCTCGTTGCGAAGCTAACGACAATTTCTCTTTCAGGATCAACGACGTCGAATGTTACAATCGCCGGAGTTGCCGATTGGTTTAATCCCCACGAAAACGCCTACGGAATAGCAACGACTCTTTACGAGAAGAATCCTACCAACGACACTAATAACGGGGAACCGATAGCCGACTGCTTCGGCGTTGTAGCGAGACCAAACTCTGCCATACTGGCTCTCGCAGACGGTGTCAATTGGGGTAAAAGTCAATCAGATCGATCTCAATAAAGTACACTAAAGCATCGCGAAGGGTAAGTGTGCCAACAAACGTTTCCAAATGTACAAATGCTTTCTGGCGGTTTCAGGTACAAAAGCGAGCATAGCTGCCAGATCGGCGGTTCACGGAAGCATAGAATACCTGAACCGCGCACTATTCTGTCCATCTATCAGTAGCGAAACCACAACAACCAGAGACGTGTTCATAGCGTTACTGCGATCATTCCATGCCGCGCATTCGTTGATCCTTCAGGAGCAAGGAATGCTTACTACCTTAACAGTATGCACAATCCTTCCACTGCCAAGCTCAAGTACTGATACGAATATATGCCACAAAAAGTATATTGCCTGTACCTGCAACGTTGGTGATAGTCTGGCTTACGTCTATTCGAGGTACGCGCTCTTTATTGTGCAGAAAAAAGGAGGATAGTTTCGCTGATACAATCTTCATCTAAAAAAAGGGCAGTTCTTTGCTTGAAGAGAGCTGTCGTTGGAAATGTTCTGTCTTGCGACCGAAACCATCCTCTCTCTACCGCTTATCGCATTTCAACAAGTTAACTCTATTCGATAATCGCTTCTTGCGTATACATATAACAGGAAGTCTGGTGTGCGAGAGATAACGCGAGGATCTCACGATATTCATTGCATGCGAGACATGCGAGATGCCTTAGGAGCCTTAGGCCCAGTAGATGGCTCTAATCCTGAACTGAACAATTTGACGTTGGCTATAACGGAGGTCGAGAGAGGCGACATAGTATTTTTGACGAGCGACGGGATCTCCGACAATTTTGACCCCGTAGTGGGGAAGTTTGCAATTTTACCGAGCCACAGCAGCGGCGCCGACGCCACGATGAAGAGCCACGACGCGAGGTCGAAGACGCGCCGAAAATCCGCGGAGAATTTGCGGCATACCGAGTCCAGCAACAGTAATGGCAACAGTAACAATTTGCCGGTAGTCGAGGCTTATCAGAGGCATGAGCTCACGTTACTGAGGATGGAGGACTTGCTGAGACGCGGAGTTTCCGGAGAAGGGCCACCGTGCAATAGTGCCAAGCATCTGTGTGAACTTCTTTTGGATTTTGCGGTAAGAATGAAACTGCGAATCACAGTGCTTGTTTTAGAATTTTAAACACTGGCAATTCTTTTAATCAATTCAGCAAAAATTTGGATGCAAAAAAGGTCTTTCTCTCGCTAGTTAGTTTTGTTAGATATAATTAAGATATAATTAAGATATAATTAAAGCATGAAAAAAAATATATAAATTTTGATATGTAGATATGTAGATGATATCAAGATATAAATTGGAATATAATCAATCAAAATATAATTAAGATTTAAGATTGAGACTTAAATGAGAATAAATAAATATATAAATAATATTCTTTAAATGTGCTTTTAAAATACATATATTTTTCATTTATTTTCCCAGGCCTTATTTCTTTTATCCTTAAATTTCTTTAAATTACATTACTTTACATACATTACTTTCTCTAACTAAATCACTACTTTTCAAACAGCATCTTCGCGATATTGATTGTCGATTTGTCTGTAGGTACGAATAACTGCCGCGAAGAGACGAATCCTAGAAGACACGGAATTGTATTACGCACAACATAAAGACGGTCAATTGATACAACTTTCCAAGCAGGAGCAGAGATCTCGACGAAAAAAAACACTGGAGAAGATCTCCATGATACCCGGCAAGTTAGACCACGCGACGGTCGTAGCGTACGTAGTCGGATCCTAAATTTCGTCAGAGCGAAATTTATAATTACTCCCTAATAATATAGAATATAGTTTTCATTTGTGTATGATAATAAAACGAACTTTCTATACTATCAGAAGGCGTCGATAACATCTAGCTGTTCCGGCTTAATCAAGACGCTGTTCATTTCACGACTTCGGAATTCGGGATGTATCTTATAAAAGAAAAGAAACTCGAAACGTGAAAAGAAACTAACTTGAGAACTGGACTAGGCGTTATCGACGATTTCTGTATAATATTCTTATTCTGGTATCGAATAAAAAGAAAATATATCTTTTACAAGTCGAGATCGTAAATTACTCATCTTTGTAAGCGGCTATAATTTTATATAGAACGAGGCGAATCGCCCGCGAAAAGTGTATGTAACTGTACAAATACACGCGTCGTGGATGTGTGATATATCCACGAGAAAAATATTTGAGTGATAATGAATTATAAGAAAAATAACATCACAATAGAACAAATGTCCGTGCATATTTTGTAAATCTTTGTATGATGATCGAGAATATTCTAGTATATATTATATATATATATTAGTATGTAATACATGTAAAGCCATTTTTGGAAATTCTTTGTTCAATGCATTAGCTTTGACAAAGAAAAGAACTTTCGAGACTGAGCAACTACATACCATTCATTTTAAGATGACATGCAGCCAATGAAATTGCTTAGTACTCTTGCTGAAGAGTATCCGATTACCGGCAAGGATCTCACAACTTTTGTCTATTCCAAACCTTGCCAAAGTTAGATCCATTTCAATTACAACTCCCTGCTTCTGAATACTTCCTGTTTCTGAAACGAGACAAATCTACATCCGGACGTTAGATAAGAGAAAGATAAAACTGGAATCAAGTTCAAGGGATAATAGCAAACGAATGAACGGATAGACCAATGAAGAGCGTTCCCGCACTGAAACGCGCATGCTCAGTAGATTCAACCGTTGGCAGCACTGAGCCGATTTGCACAGGATAACGACGATTGTGGAACGATGGCGACCATCCTCGTTAGTGTACGACTTACCTGTTGATAATCGGTATCGTTGCAGCGTGAAGAAGTAGAGCTTCGAGACGAAGAATTATTCGCGCTAGCTTGTCGGTGAGTCGTGCGACGGCGCGGGCTGTCGTTGTCCGTCCGGACGGTTGGCACTTTCATACAGAACTGACCGTTGGTGAACGATGCGTCCGAATTCCGCCGTGAGAATCAGAAAATAGGTGCTGTTACTGTGGAGACATAACCTGCGCGTCGAACTACGATGCTCGTCGTCGGTGGTGCGCCTTCCGTGTAACACGCGCGCGGTCCGCTGTGTGCTCCCCGTTTCTCGGCGTTTCCGGAGGATGAGCATTGGTCGCAATGAATCCCGGCGTTTCTTCGCAAAATTAGCCATCTCCTGCGCGCGACTTGTGCGACCCCGTGGTTTCCCGTCGATTTTTGTTTAGGTCGAGTTTTCTAGAAGAGCATGGCAATTCGCATCACACTTGAGTATGGACACGCGTCGATGGTACGTTCCCATCTCACTCCCGAGGGCTACACGCACGACTGGGAGGTATTTGTGCGTGGAGTGGACAATGCAGATATTCATCAGTACATTGACAAAGGTACGTTGCACGTGCTATCTGATCCTTATCGTCCGTCGCAGTCGCGTCGTATTCCGCATGTGCCTGCGGAAAGACGACTACGTGTCTGTAGTTTCACCTTTCCTCATGTAGCTCGTTGTTTATACTGTTTATTGTTTATAAACATTGTAAAAACATGCATGACGATTGGTGAAGCCCAAAGTTGAGCAGCCAGAGCAGAAACATTTTATCATCCAGTATGAGACTTCTAACTTGGTTTCTGGTCCTTTATTTATTTGGGCCTCTTGTTATGCTACTGGATATATTATTATACCAATAGAACAGAATAACTTGAAGTTACTTTTCTTGTGCGAACTAATATATACTTTACATTTCCAGTGGTGTTCCTCTTACATGACTCATTTAGGAATCCTAAGAGAGTACTGAAGGAACCACCGTTTGTGGTAAAGGAATCCGGCTATGCTGGTTTTCTGATACCGATTGAAATTTATCTAAAAAATAAGGATGAACCCAAAAAATTCCAGATATCATATGATCTTGACCTGCAACAAAGCGGTCCACCTATCAACAATGTCTTACGTCATATGGAGGTGATCAGTAATCCCTCTGAAGAGTTTAGGAAGAAATTATTGAAAGGTGGAGGTGTAAGTATATCTTTGAATATTTAAACCTTTGAGCAGATTGGTGGGGGCTTGTAGGATTAAAGCAGTTACAGATATTTTGATTGAGTTTGTTTAATTTGCTTTTACAGCTGATTCGTTTGTTTTACACTAACACATTTAATATTTGTACATTTATATATAAATACATTTATCATGAATCTTACAAATATATAAGTATTATTGTAAATAATATTTACGTATATTTGCACATTTGTTATAAATATTTATACTTTTACAATTTGTATTTTGTGATCAAACAGACGAAAATATCGCATCTGTGTGTCAGTATTCATATCGCAAAAGCAAGAACTGAACACAAGTGGCTTGTGTGATTGTTTTCCTGAGATCTCACATTTTACAATTTCAGGTTGTAGTATCCACTAGAGACAGTTTGGTGGAGAAAAGCGACGTGAAAACATCCGGAATGATCGGCAAACCAAAACTGAGCAGCGACTCGAGAAAACATCGCATTACTGAGTCCAAGACTTCCAACTCATTCCATGAGCTCTTTGGACCTCCCATTAAAACAGCCAAGATATCGCCTGACAACAAAAAAGTGGTTCAACCAGATAAGAATTCAGTTCCTAAACCACTAAGTGTTACCGAGAAGTCTGATAAAATGGACAAATTGATAAAAAAGGACAATCCCCACAAAGACAGTCGAAAGGACAAGGTTGATGAGAAGAAAGATAAAAAGGTTAGAGACAGCACCAAGGATAAAGTCAAAAGCAAAGATAAACCTAAGAAACCTACTAGTCCTGGTAATAAAAGTCACTCAAGTCCTTCTAGCAAGAGACCGGCGTCTCCAGTCCTCACGAAGAAATCGTCGAGTCCTCTTCCGACATCTTTAAAACGACCACCATCCCCGAAACCAAAAGAAAAGGATCCGAAGAAGATAGTAGCGGATAAAGAAAAGGACAGTAAGGAGAAGGATAAGGCGAAAAATAACTCCAAGAACATCATCGATTCCTCCAAATCCGAAAAGAAGAAAGATAAGAAGAAAGACAAGGAAGATCGAGATAAAGAGAAAAAAGATAAATATAAGGAGACAGAGAAAGCTAACATCAAAGACCTCTCCAAGATCATCGAGAAGAAGCCCGAGAAAACGGACAAGGTGGAAAAACCGGAAAAGGAGAAGCTCCAAGAGTATAAGTCATCCCGAGATGGCAGGAGATCTCCGAAGCCTGTCAAAGAGAACGACAAGGTGAGGGATGACAAGGTGATCAAAGTGGATAAATCGGAGAAAAGCGAGAGACCGGAGAAGCTGAAGGACGGCAAGAGTGACAAAGACCGGCAGAAACATAAACATAAAAAGAAAGACAAGAAGGACAAGAGGGACAGCAATAAGGACAGAGAAAAGAAAGAGAAACGCGACAAAAGCAAGGATGGCAACGAGAAACCAAACAACGTGTCTGCTACACCGCTTGGAAATCCGTTGTCGACCCTGCTCGCGGAGATTCCCGAGAGGGACAGTAGCGACTCGACGCCATCGGTGGACGACGATGCTATGTCCGAGAGTAAGCCTTTGCTCGTCCCGAAGAAAGAGACTGAACATGCGGTGATGCCCACTATACACGCAGAAGCGGCAAAGCCCTTATCCCCCGGCATGTCGATGGAAGTGAAGAAAGAGAAGAGCGATCGTAGCCGGAAGGATAAATCCAAGAGGAGCAGGAGTGAAGAGCGAGAGAGCCGAAAAAAGAAGAGGAGGAGCGAAAGCAAAGGCGACGACAAAGTGAAACGCGAGAAAAGCGAGCGTGACCAGTCGACCTCGCCGCCGTTAGAGCCGGTCTCCTCGAGCCAATCTCCGGTTGTGATTGACGTCGACCCTGTTCATCACGCGGAAAAAGAGACGAGGAAGGAGCTGAAGAAGGAGAAGGACGACCGCGAATCACAGACGATCAAGGACGAAAAGAACATGGAGGTCGATGCCGAACAGGTGGCGCCAGACTCCACCAACACCTCGTTGGTGGACACTGAGCTTAGCGAGCCGCCAGTCTTCTCCGAGGACTACGTGTCGCAGCTGAAGGACTTGCAACAGAAAATTATGACGTTACAAGACAACCAGGAGCTGCAAAGGGTCGTACAGGTGATCGCCGAGACCGGTCAATATGAGATTACAAAGAAGACGTTTGACTTCGACTTGTGCGCGCTAGATCGTAGAACTGTGCAACGTCTTCAACAGTTTTTTTCAGCATCGTGACCATCTGTAGTGTAAAACACGGTACATACATTTACATGTACATATATAATATTATATGCATATTATATGTTTATGTGAATACATTATAATATGTATAATTATATAATTATATAATATATTATTATATAATTATATAATATATATATATATAATATTGTATACGTATACATACACATATATATATATTTATATATACCCGGGCAGCGTCAAGTCTGACAGAATAGTTTTTCCGCGGCAGAATTCGCTGTCGATCGGCGTGCCGCTGGTATTTTGCCTACTGGGTATATATAGTTGAGTATATTTAAGTGATTAAGTCATATTACCTAGGAGAGAGAGAGAGAGAGAGGGAGAGAGAGAGAGGGAGAGAGAGAGAGAGAGAGAGAGAGAGAGGAGAGAGAGAGAGAGAGAGAGAGAGAGAGGAGGGAGGGAGGAGGGAGGGAGGGAGGGAGGGAGGGAGGGGGATTATTTACAGAAACATTAGTTATTGTGCCCAGTAAGCAAAAAAAAGGAAATAAAGAAAATAATTGGTACAATATCGAATAATCCCTAATAATATGTAACGTGGTCAAATATGTAGTTCCTAACGTTGCATATAACATCATTGTGAGTGACTGATGTCGGTAATCGAGTGTTGGGTTCTGTTGCAAGAACGAGCACTTAGGTACTCGAGTGGTGCAGTGATTAGTGTACATAGCAAGTCTGAGAGATGAAATCGGCTGACGTGATACAAATCAGCCGTCGCGAAAAAGATATAATCGATAGTATTTTTGGCTTCGGGCGCATCCCGGGTAGCACTCGCGAGAGCGCTCAGGTCGCATCTACGAGTTTGATTCACCGGGTGGAGAATTGTGTTTTAGAAAGTTACCCGGTTCTTGCAAAATAAAGTCAGCGCGATTCGTGAGTAATGATCCCCGAATATTTTTACAATAATCGAAAAAGAAGAAATTATATATATATACACATATATCGGGCAATATTTTTAAAATATTTATAGAACGCTATGCGAGATTGTTGAAGAAAATCATCACCATCATCGGAACTATCGGTCCGTTCGATGTCTCTTGCTTACTGGGTGAGGCCCCGAAAGAACGTTACAAGTATATGTCCGATTGCGCGCGAAAAACAAAAAGAAAAGAAGAAACTAAATGATTGCTATCGTAGCCCGCTAGCGGAGTCGCTCGTGGAGAGTCGCATCCTCTCACGGTGTAACGCAACGAGTACAATCTAACGAAACATACCATGAAACATAACACGAAACATAACACGATTCCTCTTTGCGATCGACCCGGCGATCGCGGTTGCGAAATATGTGTGCGAGCGTACGAGTAACAAGTTATGCGTTTGTACGATAGGAAGATTCACGCTGTAGATAACGGATGAGAATTCGACGAAGTACGAAGCTATAATCCATCGTGCCTTTCGCACGCGAAGTACAGCGTGGTGACGTGGTGACGTAATGATGGCCACAGTTCTGCGAAGCAGAAGAGTCGAATCAACATGCCACCTCGCAGGATGTTACTTGCAATGTTTCTTTGGGGAACTTAAGGATATCCGCGATGCATTTACACAGTAGCATGTATTGCGCCGGCCAGGAATAGAATTCATGTATGGTAATACGTGTATTGTCATTGCACTGATTTAGCGACGTAAGAGGAATTATTTAAAACTTAGGCGCAACACACACGACATATACACATACATTAACACATATTTACACGGACCATACTTATACAGTGTCTGTTTTGTGATATAGACATATATTTCTGTTCTCAAGTAACGCCTACCGCGAGTTCACATCCCTTTCACACCGGAGACCACAGTTGGTCGTATTTATTGATGATAACTTTTTGTACAAGTCGTAATGTCGATAGAGAATAACGCTTGCGCTAATCATAGAGACGTCTGAGTTCGCGCGATTGCCCATTAACACGCTGTGCATTAATTACGTGTGTGTGTGTATATCTGTGTGCGTACGTGTATATATGTGTGTGTGTGTGTATGTGCATGTACGACTCGTGAGAAACGAGAGGGTTGCACTTGATGGAACTATTCGTATGTGATGTTCAATATCTTGTTTTCTTATGAGATATACCGTCGTTTTCGTATATTCCCTGGCATATATTTTTTTCACATACAAGATACTACACATCAAGAAGGAGGAAGTGTGTTAACCGAGCGTTAATCGTTGCCAATTTCTTCTCCGAGTTCGTTCGAAATCGTCCGATCGTAAACTCTATCTATGTGTGAGTGTGTGTGTGTGTGTGTGTTTGTATGTATGTATGTGTGTGTTAAATCAATATTCATCTCAATTTTCATCGCATGCTTCAACGATTCTCGTCCACCTCTCGTCGTTATGAGCTTCTCGAGCCGTAGTAAATTTCTGTTTCTTTTTATTTTCTTTCTTTTTCTCTTCTCTTTATTCGCCAAGCAAGATTTGCGTTCATGTCACACAGGGCGAGGTCTCTCTCTTTCCGTAACATTCATGTCGCGACACATGTCGCGCTCCGCCTAAAAAACAAAACATCCGTAGCATCTCTGCAATTTGTATAGTACAATGATAATATCCCTTATAATGGCGTCACATATAGATCAGTCATTATGTCACGTGCAATCTATTCACCAAATAGTCTAACGTTTTTGATAATTGTTGATTAAGAGTAACAAAGAGTGTACATTACGTATAGATTGTAAGCTACTATTTATAGTTCTGCGCTGTATTATTTATTACACACACGATACTGAATATCAATGCGGCTATGTTTTCAGAGATGATACGCTCTTGTCGATCGAATCAAACGTGTTTATGGTTGCGTGCGTGCATGTGTGTGTGTGTGTGTGTGTGTGTGTGTGTGCGTGTGTGAGAGTATATAACGTGTGTTTGCGAAAGAGAGACTGTTGACTTTAAATACTCAATGTTATGCTGACCCTGGCATGCATTGTCGTAACAAAGCGTGGAAAGCACGTGAAACAAAAATCGAGCACTCCAAGTTGGACAGTAACGTCACTTTTAATAACATTAAGGCTAGATGTAGGTTTTAGATGCCTTTTTCGGATACCATACTTACAGTAGAGACGGATCTATGTCGTCGTCGGAACATCGCGGAGCGAAGACACCTCTTTGGCGAACATCAATTTGTACATATATGTATCAGGTGACTCGCTCGTGCATGGATGTCGACTCGGTTCGCGTTCGCCACAGCCACGTCGCGACGTTTGATTAAAATCCCCGATAATTCGCAGATTTTAGCTGCGTCTTCGCTTCGACGACACGACGCGCGACTGATCGATTTGTTGTTTCGCGATTGTACAGCTGATTTTCTCTTCTTTGTTCCTTTTTCTTTCTTTCCCTCTCGTAGATGTATCTGTTATATCTGTATCCTCGTGTTGTATCTGTTTTCCGTATGATGTCTCGTTCAGCGTTCAGACGTGGCGCGTCCAATTATGGAACGTCGTTCCACGCAACACAAAATCTGATAACATAAATTCTATTCTTCTAATGTAGCGAAGACGCATGCGCTCGAGCGCTAAAGGCAACATCCGGAACGCGGATCGTCTTTTTCTTTTCTTTATCTTTTTTTTTTCTTTCTTTCCTTTTATACTTAAATTTTGCATGACGATACTCGATTTACGTTATTAGCGTTAAAATAACGTGTGTAAATGTCTGAGTTCGCTTAATAGCCGATTGATCGCGGCATGGATATTTAATTGTGCATACATAGTCACACACACATCATGATCGTTGCTGCGCATTTTTTTTTTTTATATGAAAGTTCTAGATGAATGTTATGTAAAGATGATAGTATATGTACGAGAATTATACATATACGCATATGCGCCGGAATTCTCGTTTACATGTAAATAGTGAATGAACGCAAAATAAAGATCATAGCGCGTAGGACAGAGACGCGTTAATGACTCTGCAAGAATATAGTACAAGACGGAACTGTTAGATTTATATGCCATTTGATGAATACGACACGTTCTCTATGTACATTTAATAAATATATTAAAAGGTGAAACACCGTTCTATGTCGTGGAGCTTCACTGTCGACACTTTTTTCAAATAATATAAATAATTCTAAATGAAGTGTAACAAACAGCATTTAAAAGAACGTCGAAGAGTTTTGCTTCTTCAATGTGAGAAGATCATTTTATTTGCCTGCCTCAAGATGCGCGAATTAAAAATAAAACGGCCATTCGACGTAGAGACGTACCACTTGAGGATACGAACGAGAGGTTCTACTGATTTATTCATACTGCGACCTTGATTCTTTGTTAAATACGGTGGCGGCTCATAGCGGAGAGTCCGGAACTAATAATAAAAGTAACAGGCCTAACGATCGCGCATTAACAAGTCCCTCGTTCGCTGCAATTATCAAATCGCTACTTCTCTTAGGCCTGGTCTACAATGTGTGTTGTAAGCTGTAAGCCGTAAGAACTGACCAATTATAGCCGATTATTTTTGTAATAATCGACTGTGATTCGCCAATTCTTATGGCTTACAACTTACGACACGTATTGTAGACCAGGCCTTAGTTCCGAAACCTGCGCTACGAAGAATTGATCTCGTAGTATGAATCAACGATTGATAAAGTAGAATAATAATTATCGTTTATTGAATCTCTCTTAATCTCTCGTACAGTAATAACAGATTAAATCTGATTACGTCCTGCTCTTACATCTCGGCGACTCTATCGTCGTAACAATATTAATTACAAAGAATATAACGGACGTGAGTGTCGCATCGTACGATGTCCGCGGCGTGTTTTCCATTGCTTCTCTCCGCCGGACGACGACGCGCGAACGCGAAGAACTTGCGAATCTCTCGATCGAGGAAGAAGATGAAGAAAAAGTTTGTATCATTAGGCAGAAAGCGTAGCGAGAAAATGAAAAGTGATCTAGTATCCTGCCAATTCGGCGAACGTCGAGTCCATCTCGTCGGCCAACGACTTGTATCTGTCCTTGTTGATGCCCAGTTCGTCTGAAAGAGTAAAACGCATGAAGAGAGAGAGAAAGAAAGAGCATTAATATTGAATTTTTTTTCTTTTGTTCGAATTTTTCGGCATTTTTACACGCGACCGGGAATATATCGCCGAAACAACTCAAACCAACACACTCACCTTCGAGCCTGTCGACCTCCTTCTGGAGCTTCTTGACAGTCTTCTCGGCGAACTCAGCGCGGGCTTCGGCTTCCTTCAGCTTCACCGTCAGAGTCTTCAGCTGGCGCTTGAACTCCTCGACTCGTTGGTTAGCCTGTGTGAGCGTTTACGAATTAATTAACAGATCGTGGCTCACCACGCGCTTTTGATTATTTAACGCGATCTTATTTAGCGCGATGGAGATACGTGAACACACCAAGTTGCGGAAAACGATCTCTGTAATCGGCAAAGTAGTGAGAAGGAATATAAAACGAGGGACGTCGACGACGGCCGTACCTTTTCCTCGGAGACCTCCAGTGATTTCAAGCTGTTACCGACGACCTTCAACTCTTCCTCCAGCTCCATGATCTTGCTGCGAAGGTGAGAGATTAGAATTAAATATTCGAATACGCTTGCTATAACCTTGAAAGACGATCAACGAAAGTCTTTCGTCAATTTACTTTAGCATCTCGTAAATATTCCTCTCTCCTATGTCTCTCGTAAAATAAATTATTTGAATTAAATTAAATTAATTCGAGTAATTCAATTAATCAAAATTAAAAAAAAAATGCAATGGAGTTTACATGAAATTATATTAAATTTAAAATAAAATCACAATATTTACATTTTTTAATTTACATCAATCTTAATAATAAACCAAGTAATGGTGGTTTGCAATGAGATAATTTTGTTACGAGCAAACCACTGATGACACAATTTCGAGCCACACAATGTGACACAACAATGGGCGAGAAAAGAGCGCGGCGATTTGTTAAATAAACGATCTCTATTTTTGTTACTCACGCTTCGCCGGACTTGACACGGTCCTCCGCGACTTCAAGCTCGTCTTCAACGAAGGCCAGCTTGCGTGACACTTCGTCGGACTTGCCGTCGGCATCCTCAGCAAGCAGACGGGCCTCCTTCAGCTGGTTCGTCAGCTGGTCCATCCTCTCCTCGTCCTGCTGCGCACGGTTCTCCAGTACTTTGCACATACTGCAATTGGTAGGGTGCGTGTCGTGATGATGTTGTGACGTACGTACGGCGCAGATTAATCGAGCACGAATAATTACCGGCTGGACTCGTCGGCGGCCTGCGACGCTTCGGTCAGTTTGGCGGTCGCCGTGTTCAGCCGTTCTTCCGAACGCTCGAGATCCTCCTCAATCAGCTGGACTTTGCGATTCAAGGCGGCGACTTCGGACTCAGCCTGAGGGAAATTGTATATATTTTAAACGTACTCGATTACGAGTAAATATGGTAATTACATTAATATGCAAATAACAGACATCCTTTTTGTGTAGGTGCGTATACTATTGGTTTTTCAACGAATTCGCTTCATTCGCTTCACTTTTTACTTTTTTCTTCTCTCTCTTTTTTCTTTCTTTTTGTACCTTGCTCTGTCTATTGATATTTTTGATTAAAGGAATACCCAAATAAATAACTGAAAAGTCTCGAAAAAATCCTGAATTTTCAGATATCGAGGAGAAAAATTTACATTGGAGAGAAGTCTCTCACGCTTTTTTACATTATGCTTAACTACGACGTGAAAAATACAAAATACTAAATATGAAAATATAAAATTCTAAACATAAAATACGTAAATATGAAAATATTGCCATATTAAATACAAAAAAATTTTTTTAATGTCGAATATTTTTATATATTTCTTATATATTTTATATATTTTTATATATCTAAATATATACCAAATACACGAAATTGTTAGCTAAGAGCTATGTTAGCTAACTAAGAAAAGCTAAGAGAACGAAAGGGAAAAGCCTACGTTGGTAAGGGACTTCTCGCGTTCCTCGAGGTCTCTGTTGGCCTGTTCGAGAGCCTGCTTGTTGGCTTCCAAGTCACCCTCAACCTGGGCCAGCTTCTTCGTGAGATCCCCGACCTCTTCGAGGACCTTGTCCGCGCGTAAATTCGCCTCCTTCGCCTGGCCCTCGCAGGTGTCGGCCTTGTCCTGCGCATTGTCCTTCTCAAGCTTCATCGCTTGCATCTTCTTCTTGATTGCGTCCATGGTGGCGGCTTTGGTTTGCGGACCGGTCCAACGAGATCACCGAGATTGCTGAAAACGATGTTCTCCCATCAAACTCTACGTCGATTATCGACAGTTTTCGAAACAACGTTCGTCTCGGAGAAAATTACTGGCAAACGTTGGAACCGCCCACGCTCTTCGACGTTTCTCCAGCCGTTCATCGTTGCGCGCGAGACTCCCACGAGTCTCCGTATTTCGGGAAGCTGCTGCATTTTGCAGCAACCACGCGAAGGTATGCGCGGCTCGCAGAACATCGGGCCCGATGTTTTGCGAGCCATAATTCCGGCTGGCCGATCGCTAAACGCGTGAGCACGAGGAGGAGAGAGCACATCAGGGCGTCTACGGAAATAGCATCTACAGCCCGATTCTATAAATATGTGCGTAACGACGACGACGGCGACGGCGACGGCGACGGCGACGGCGACGGCGGCGGCGGCGACGATGGCGGCGGTGGTGGCGGCGGCGACGGCGGCGGCTCCCTGACGTTTCGTACGGCGCACGAAGGGGCCAAAACTACGAGTTTGTAACCCAGAAGAACGGGCTTTACTTGGCCGCCACCGCCGACCGACATTCGATCTAACCGACGCGTATTAATAGCATTTACAAAACTTCGCGATCGCGGCCATCCAGCGCGGATCTTGCGGCCGCGAATCCGCCAGCCGTGCGTGCGCGGCTGAGGGGGATGCATTTTATTTTACTTCTCATCGGCTTGCTCAAAAAATTCGGCTCGAGTCAAATTTCATTTGATCGCGCTCGACGGGGGCGAATTACCGATCGAGAAAATTATCGTATTTGTTGATAACTCGCCGACTAAATAGTCGCGAGCATCTGTTGTTCTTCTACGATTTATATGATATTATTAATTAATTAATTAACCAAATAATTAATTAATATGATATCATTATTTTTTTCTTTGTGATATGTATGAGAAGGAGAGACAGAGAGATGAGATATAATAAAATCATACAATACAATCATATCACATCACATATCTCGTATCACAATATCATATCGTAGTCATATATACATATAACGAAATTGCTCTATTATACGGTTGTTCGTTAAGTGAACGTTATTGGGACATTGTTGCCTTGTATCGTGCGTGGGTGACATCATCCATGGGAGATCGAATTGAATATCTTTGGACTGACCTAAAAATTAGTGTCGTCCAGAAAACGCCGCGTGCATGAAATCTATTACGGGATATTTAACGTAAGTGGGCCGAGAAGGGGCGATGTAGCGTATCCGTGCAAGAAATGTCGTTATGCAAATACCGGTGTTATCTCCGGTTAGCATTTGCGATACAAAGCAGCGGTCAAATTTCTATGTAACATAAGCGAAAATGCGAAACTGCGTACGTACAGTCCACGTGCAACACATTAAAGCGGAAATGCCCTTAAGCGGATAGCCGCGTGTGCAACAATATAAAACGTTATATTGATTTTCGATGTGCGCACGTCTGACTCTCACGAATAACTGCATCTCGCATAAAATAGAAAAAATATAGCGGGAGAGCGAGCGAGAGAGGCAGAAGCGGGACAAGGTATCATCGATTATCATCATCATGTTCTCGTAAAATGATATATTTTTTTCGTAACGCATTGAGAGACAAGGGAAATGAGATTCGCGCGAATTAAAATTGAGCCGGGAGAAAAATCGAAGTGAAAATCTTAGCTCGGCGATAATCAGCCACTCGGCGCGATTCGCTCGAGATATCCGTCATTTATTCCAGGACCGACCGAAGTTCATATTTGACTTGGAAAACGTAACATTTTCGGTCTCGGGGATATTAATAGTCTGCCGAGGAGCGCGGTTGCTTACGCTCGCCGTGCGATGTCAAAGTGACATCACACCTTCGCATTTATCCCCCGCGGTCGCCGCAAAGAACATTTTGCGAAAGTGACCGCGCGACTGTTAATTAAATTGCCGCTCTTCCGCGAATCGTCGCGCGGAACACGTCGTAAAGTTTGTGAAAAAGAGAGTTCGACTGAGTGTTATCTGACATTTTCCGCAAGATGTAAAATAACGCGATGCTTAATACACACATATATATACACACACACATCGGCATGAGAAATGCTACTTACATCGTTGCCATCGCGTGTTAAGCCGGCAAGCGAGTTCCTGAAGCGTTAGCAGCGAGAAAGAGACAGGGGAAAATAGCTGTTATTATTTGGCGGCGGTTAAGAAAGCCGCGGCCGCGAAGGAGACTCTGCCCAGGTCGGAATCCTCTCGCGGGCGAATCACGCAAATCCCCCGTAAAAGTCAAACATCCCGCCGAGCCCCTGCAAGAAAGCTAAACGTGCCACATATGCCGGTGTGAATCCCGGCGTAAACCAAATCTAACATTCGTAAACACACACGTTCAATATTTGAAACGGCGCGCGGACGCGACGGATCGCCGATCGGAGTTAACGGATTTATTTCGGGCCGCCAGCGAAGTCGTCGCCCGGCTTCGCCACATCGGACCATCAGCACTGTGTCCGAGTCATCCAGATGCGATTTCGTTTCCCCGACTTTTCCAAGGCGCCTCGTCCCCTCGTCGGCATCTTTTTTTCCCGTCTCATCCTCGTCGTCTTCGAAGTGCGCGTTTCAGCGACACTGGTGATTTAATCAGTCTCGCCCGAAACCTCCCGTCGATCGACGACATGATTCGCGCGGGGGGATCACATCCTGAAGACATTGCTCATGGACGAGGGCCTCGGGAAATTCCTCGGGAAAGCCGAGCGTCGCTGGTTAGTGCTTTTCGATTCGTCCCTCCAATCGCATGAGCACCGGTTTCTTCGTCTCTTCATCTTTCGCTGCTTTCTTGATCCTCGAGAATTCCGTCATTTTGCAGCAAAGCGATACACTCACATACGCACAAATGAGAAAGAAAAAGAGAAGAGAGAGAGAGAGAGAGAGAGAGAGAGAGAAAGAGCGTAAGAAAGAGAAGCGTATTCACGGCGGGGAAAGCGCGTCGTTCACAACAATGATGCTGATGACAATAATGCTGATGATAATGATGATGATGATGATGATGATGATGCTGCTGCTGCTGCTGATGATGATGATGATGCTACACTTACCTAACCCGAGCCGATCGGAGCAGCGCGAGTCGAGTATCTGAGCGGAGAACGGAAAAGCCGCCGGACGAAAAGTGCGCGCGGAAGGACGCGACGCCCGCCCTGGTGGGGATCCCAAAAATGGACCGCCGCGAGCCCCGCGTAACACGTTTATTTTCTGCTCCCGAAGCCGCGGACGAGATGTCTGTCGCACCTTCCGTCCGCACACTCGCGACTCTGACGCCAGTCGTCGCCGCCACCGCTGGAGAAACGCTCGTCAGGGTTAACGCCGCGACCTGTAACCCTCGTCCTCATCTGTCGCATGGACCGAACAGAGGACGGAGGGAAGGAGTGTGGGAAGAGAGAACGCTTTCGAAAGCAAGCCTCGAGCCGAGCTGAGCGGACAAGCCGACGGTGTGAGTTCCATGGCTCTCTGGAACAATAGTTCTTCCGTTTTTCCCTCCTCCTCTTTCTCTACGTACCGCTCGTTGGGGTTGATTCTCCCTTTGCAACCATGCATCCACTTGCTCGGTGATACTTTGGACTTGACAATGAGCGCGATGGTCGACTGCGAGCTCATTTACAGCGACGGGATGTTCATCTTGCGCGATTGTATTGCGGAAAATATTACGAGATAATCTTTCTCTTAATATGTATTGGTATATTATTATATTATTATTATTATAATTATCATTTTACTATATTATTCATTATATATATATATATATATATTACAATATTATTTATTATATTATTATTTATTATATTATGATAATTGTTATTGGTTTATATCATTTTCTGTCGTTAACAGAAAAGACGATATTTTCGGGACGGAACTTTCAAATGCAAAACATGTATGAGAACAATGATATTCGTTATATATAATCATTTTTTATTTATTTCATTTATTTTATTTGTAACCCATCTGTGTCGAACAAAGAATGCCACTCATAAGCACATTGTATAAGTGTTTAAAAATATTTACAAACATCCGAATATTTTTTTTGTAAGAATTAGTTTCATCGGAGTGAGAGAGAAAAAAGAAAGGGATAGAGAAAGAAAGAGAAAGAGAGAGAGAGAGGGAGGAAGAAATGAAGAGAGAGAGAGAGAGAATAAGTTAGATAGAGAGAAAGAGAAAGAGAAAGAAATCCTTTTTAGCTTCATTTCCGTTTCGCGTGCCTCGCTCGGCGAATCATTTTTAGAAGATCGCTTCGCGCTACGCTCCGCCACCACCGGCGGATATTTATCGTCGTGGAAAAAATAAATCTTTATTTTAAGGCCGTCACTTCAAGTGTCTCCTAACTAGTTCGGTTGACGAATATACAATGAAAAAGCACGACCGCGCCGAGCTCTCGGCGATGCGAATACAAGCGATTTCGCGATCCGATTTCGCAAACATGCACACATACGCACCTGCGTTCGTGGCTCTTTCCTGCGCGATAAAGAGCAACGGCGCGGGTGTACTTAATAATATATACACGTGTCGAATATTTCTAAATTAACCCCTTACGGCATAGCGTGCCGCGCGCGTCCAAGTGCGACAGATAACGGCACACATACGCGATAGATAAAGACGACACTCTACTATAAAGATGTGTAATCTCTTTGCGAAATTGCAAGGAATGAGAAGAGTCGAAACGTTTGTTCTCATATTTGGGCCCTTCTTATTTCTTACATAATTGAATATCTGACAAGAAAGATCCGGCAACACGCAAATTCTGATAAGAAACAGACTCTAAATTAAGAGGTAGATGCGTGAGGAAAAAGAAAAAAAATATATTTTTTTAATTTACACCACGGTGTTTCAAAAAATAAAATCCTATTGAATTTTGAACCTGACCCTTTTTTACATCTTCCACAGTTTCAGAGATATTACAATATATATTTAATAATATTTATATATTTAATTCAAATAATACATATTGTTCAATATATATTCAATAAAATATATAAAGAAATACTCAAAAAATAATACATAACCCTAAAAATAACATACTTTCTCCTTTTTTGCGGAGATCCCAATTTTCCGAAACCTCGCGAATTACTAAAATCTTCCTCATATATATAAGATCCTTATAATTTTTGTTCCTCCAAGAAATTTCCCCGAGCACAGCTCACTCGCTTCCTCGTTAATCAAAATTCCCCGAAATTAATTTCGGAAAATCGAACCCACCCCCGTCGTTCCGTGGCGGAGCGATCTCGGTCCAGCAATGAGATCCGCCGTATTTATTTATTGCCGATTAAATTATATACGTTTTCTCCTTTCTTTTCCATTAAAGAGGTAGAACAGCGAGAGTAATCCGTTTTAATCTATTCTTGTACTTTTAACGCGGCTCGCGTCAGAGCGCGAGTCTTTCACGGCGGAGAATTAACTACGCGGTAAGGGATTAACGCGAAGAGCACAGCGTCGCCGTTACGTTGTTCGTCCAACTTGCATACGCTGTTGATCGGCCGGTTGTTGAGGACATAATGCACATTGACCGACTCATAAGATCTCGCGTAAAATTCTCCCTAGAGGAGATCCTTATGACTCTTCTTTATGAGCGGATATAATAATATATTAGGAAGAATATATCATTTTATTATATTTGTGCTTACTCTTAACCTTATCTTACGAAGTGTATATATATATATATTTATTTATTTATTTATTTATGTATATATGTATATATAGAATATTCGGGAGAGTCGCGCTACTCGCTCTCACCGCGGCCCGGTGTGTATAGAAGTGTGTAAAAAGTTATATAGAAGTCGTGTGTGAGAGGAGTGTTAGATATATAATGCTTTATAATACACTTAGTTTGAATTATAATTGCGCGAGGAGCATAGAAACAGTATAACAAAATATATGAAATATTTATAAAACAGCTGGCCCCGTCGGTATTTGCGAGAACGCTTTCGTCTTGCAATCACGCGTTTAACGAGCTTTCATCTCTATCGCTGTTACTAATCGTTAATTTTCCATCACGCGAAATAATGCTGATAATGGTAAAACACGGAGCGAGGAATATATCGGATAAATTTCGATATTATTAATGGTTCGCAAAGGTTGTAGTTTTAGCCGTATTTGTCTCATTAATAGCGATGAAATGCCATGTTCGATCAAAGTATCTTCCTTCATTACTTACCACTTTTTCTCGCCATTTCTCAATCATTAATTGTCTTCGTCTATAAAATGACTCAGCATCTAATGAAATCAATGCCGATTCAACAAATTTTGTCAGTCCCCGTAAGATTCGACTACTGAATAAATAAAGAAAAATCACCAATAAATAAGAAGTTACCAGTATCGTGTACCTGCGAGAAATCTCCGGCAAGATTATGATGCGCACATCATGAATTTGTTCATACGTATGAGAACCAATAAAAAATATCACGATCCAAAAATCAACGAAAAAGAACAGGGCATCGCCCTGTGCGTTGCGGAACGACACGACACGCGTTGAATCCTTCGCAAATACCGACGTGAGTCGAACGAACGCAGTTGTGCATGGCCAAAGCCGTGCCTTATCACATATCATCGTCTCTGCAACACGCCGCATCCCTCTCCCCGTCCCTCCCCTCACATATGTATGTATATGTACACGTCCGATTGATCTGAGAAGTAGCCTACATATAGTAATACCGTCGGACAGACAAGATCGTCGTGACACAGCTTTTGTAGTGGACACAGATATCCAACGAATGTAGACTTGAACTTTCATTTTACTCCGTAAACGCGCACACGTACACATCCACACCTGCCTACCCACACACGCACACCCACACCCAGAACGCCGGGAATTACATCCACCTCCTTTTCTTCCCCTCCTCTTCCACCTACTCTTACACGAAATTATCGTCGTCCCTTGCCGCGCGACGACGTGCCATACTATAAATTATGCTCTAATGTCTCGTCTGTATCTACGTATGTACTGTATCTCGTACTTAAAAACGAACTCTACATTCTAGATTGGACGTAGACGGTGTACATCGAGAATGTGTCGTGCACATTATTGCTACTCCTAGAGCCCCTCTCGGATTTAACGAGTCGATTGGCGCGAATAATATAATACCACACGTGGAATCGCTTCTCTCTCTCTCTCTCTCTCTCTTTCTCTCTCTCTCTCTCTCTCTCTCTCTCTCTCTCTCACTCACTCACTCTCTGTCCTGAAGCGGCGGAGACATGCAACATAACGATTAATGCGTCTCATTATCAGCGAAGACCAAGGTCCTTTTCTGCGTTATATTTTTTTTTCTTTTTCCCTTTTTCATCAAGCACCGAGCGCTCATAACTACCTAGCGAAAAGGAAATGGCATGTGTCGTCGTATTTGACGTTTAAGTAGAAAACGTTAGAATACAATTATCGCACGTAGACGGCGTTTGCAGAAGCGAATTGTAAGATCTTGATGCTCTCGGATAGTCTTCTCCTTTATTTCTCGTCCGGAGCGTACTAATAACGTTCTAATCCACGAACGTGTGTAAACTTGGAACCGGATGAAAGGATAACGCGCGTGGAATGATACAAGCGAGAGAATACGTTTCTCCTCTCTCAGTTTTCCTTTCTTCCTCTTTTCATTCGAGTAGCGATACTCGGTGAAATAATTCGTCATCGGGAACGAAAGAACGGTTCAGGGGGCAGGGAGGGGATGTATAAAGCCAGATCTTATTCTGTTTGGCAGTGAGGAATGCCTAGGATAATTCGAAGCATCCCTTAACTCTCGAATACGCGGCACTTCGATGGTATTTCGCGTTACCGAGGGATATATTGCGATGTTGAAAATTTCCATGGTAATATTATATATAATATTTTATCCACTGTTTATATATATATATATATATATATCTCGATCGCGAAGTGAACACCGAAAAAATTTGCCGAGGAGAATTGCAGTAGACGGAATATCAATATTAGGAAGGCTTGCGGAATTTTATTGAATTTTTCGAAAGGTTATATTTCTGTGACGAATTTGTTGATTCCTACTCATCTATTTGAGCAACAAAATAAATCGCGCTATATTTGATCAAATTGTCCACTATTATTTATTTTCTTCCGTTAGCTTGCAGATATTGTCTGATTCCACGTTCGCAAAATGATTTATCTGTCAAGCCAATAATATGCAAAATAAGTACACGCGCTTTCGCGAGCGCCTGCTATAATATTTCACTCATCGCAAAATCAATTTCGCTTGCTTATTTCGCGATTATTGAACTTTTGGATCTCTTGCTAATACATTTTGTTCGCGGAATAATGAGGGATGAGTAAAGAATTATGTGTTTTCATAAATGAGATGCTGATATATCATTGGAAATATCTTGATATTTTTAAATCGCGCGCAGCAAAAAAGTTATTGGAAAGATTTTTATTAATTCAGTATTTCATTTTGCCTCCGCTTGAGAGCGGAAGCCACGTGCGTTTTGATATGCATATTACGTCTCTGTGTACGAGCGTATCAGTCTTAATTCGATCCGTTTGACTATCCAATCGGCGTAAATCGGCCGCGTCCGCGGAGTGCGGGCAATTTCGCGAGTCGCAATTCGCAAGCCCAAAGATACGTTCGAGAGTTAAGCGATACAACCAGATCACGAATTAACATTGTCGAGGAAAGGAAACGTAAACGTTAATTTACATCTACTGTCGCATAAACGAGCGATTGTCACAGGCCCGCATTTGCATGCGCAACGTGCGCCGTGGCTCGAAACAATGCGAATCCTGCGACCTCCGAATATGTCCTAGTCGTCGTCATTGTCGTCGTCATTGTCGCCAGTCAGATTCAAACTTTATAATTACGAAGTGTCGTTGATTCCTCGCGTCAAGTTTTATTCTGTCCCAGATGATCTCATTCTATTTTGTTCTGTTGTAAATCCCCGCGCGACCGCGATCGCAAAGCAACGTCGTTCAAAAGAGATTCGCCAGAAGCGATGAGAGCGTAAGGTCACCAAACTGAAGTCTCAATCAATCGAAGAGTCGAGAGAAGAACTGATCGCACATCGTTTCCTCCCTTTGTCCCTTTCTCTTTCGTTCGATTCAAACAAGGAGCGCTGCCCTTTCCAATCGCACACTGAGTGAACGGTTTCACCGATCGCCGACGAACTCGTTAGATTAATAACATGCGCGAGGTCGTTTTACTGACAAGAATGAGACCTGATGGAGTCAATCGAAAGCTCGTCGCGCGGCTTCCGTTCTCGACTCGGCGATGCCCCCTTTGTCGTCCGTTTGCCTCGTCCGTCTACCGTGGAATGCCGTGAGCTCGTAGTAAATACCAGCTGCTGAACTGTCGTACGAATCGAACTTTAATGAGCGTGACTCCGGAAGATACTGCAGCGCCTGATACAAGGACGCGTTCTCGGCGTCGCCTGCGCTGAAGCGGTGCGACTGCTTATTGTTGGGGTCCCAGCTTGGATTCGACGGCCTGCAGAAGCGTGGAATGTGCGGAGCGTCGCGGGCTATCTCGAAAACGTAGCTGTCGTTGCCTGAAATCGATCAATCACTGGCGTTTTCAGCATGCCGACATTTGCGAATATCGCGTCGCGAATATTAGTATTCTCCGTCCGCTATTATCCGTGGGAGAAATTGCGGGTGAGAACTGAGCGGTCGTCGTCGTCGTTCTTTTTCGTTCATGGAGAAAAATCGAAGTAATGACAACGAACGAGCCACACGCTTGATTTCGCTTGATGGAAATTGCGAATCAAATTCGGCTCTAAAGAAAGTCCATTTCTTCCGACTAAAACGCGTTTAGCTTGTTCATTGTCGCGTTAACTTAGTCGAATTTTTTTCTACGTGTTATTCGGTGCTCCGAGAGCCTCGATGAAGCCTTGACATTTACCAAACCCGAAAACCCCTACTTCTCTCAATTAATTTTAATTATTAATTCGTACAATTTAATTAAATCATACATCATGCCTCAGTATGGATGTTTATTATTACTGTTGGTTACTCGATTAATCTGTCATTTTGACAACTCGATGTAATATATATTACACGTTACTCGATGTAACATATCTAGCTTTATTGCTAATCTCATATTACATCATATGTCATGTAATGTTCATTTTGATTGGTAATCTTGATCGTATCATGTTATATCGTATTTTACCATGTCGTATTATGTTTAGACTTTCAGACACGACGGAAATGCGATTAAACTGATAAGTCTAGCGAATTATGGTTTAATCAATGTTAAAGCTTTATAGAGGCTCAGTAATCGGCGAGATCGGCATTGCAGCGATCGTCGTATAAATAATTTTTATCGTCCTGCGCGAGCGAGCTCGTTCAAAATTTCAGACAGTCGCCTCTCGAGATATTTCCACTGTGACGGGAAATGTCGCGAGAATACCATCACCGGGAAAGGTAGACGTTTGTGGCAAATATGCGTGTGACTTGTGCGCGAGGGGACGTTCCCTAGACGTGGGAAGATAAGGTGAAAGGTATCCCCTTTGCCAAAGGACTTTTCTTCGGAAGTTCAAGTCTGACGCCGTCGCCCGTAACCCTTTACCGGGACAGCTCTTGTAGAAGTGGCGAACACGATTCCCCCGCAACATTCTCTCTCTTTGTTTTTTATCTATCTATCTGTTCCGTTCGTCGCATGACGAATGTAAAGGGAAAGAAACTTCGCCAGCCACCAGGGTGTATTTTCGCTTCAAAAGAATATTCCCATCTGCGGGAAGGTTGAGACGCATGGCTGTGGTATAACGTGTCCTTTCGGGCGTCCCCGGCTGCGCTAGACGTATTTCTTCCGTGATATACACAGGGTATTCCCCCGACGGGAGGGAGAAACGCGGACGCACGTAGTTTCTGTAAAGAGCGTTTTTTCTCGCATTTTGTGTGAAATTCGGGCTTTTTTAAACAGGTTTACAGTGGAGGCGGTGAGTTATCATTATATTATGGCTTGAAGAATAGAGAAAGACGGAGAGAAAGAGAGAGAGAGAGAGAGAGAGAGAGAGAGAGAGAGAGAGAGAGGGAGGAAGGGAGGGAGAGAGGGAAAAACAGCGAGGGAGAAATTTATCATTTTTCATTTCATTTTTAATACATGATGTAAAAAACGGACATTGCATTAACTCGTTGCGTCAACATTCACATTATCTTTTATCATAGATTAAAAGTGGGACGACAAATCCTCTCTCTCTCTCTCTCTCTCTCTCTCTCTCTCTCTCTCTCTCTCTCTCTCTCTCTCTCTCTCTCTGTCTTTTTCCCTCTCCACCTCCCTCATCGGTCTACGACCGAGATCAAAATCAATCCGACGACATCAAATTATCTATCTTCTTTAAATCGTACCTCCATGAGTTTCTGTACTCATTACCGGTGCCGATATTCGAGTACCGCGAGCACTCGGCTGTAGAAAGCAACGGATTTCTATTGAGAAGCACGGCCACGATATAAAGTCCGTTATTTTCCATTCGCGAACGAGAGCAAGCTCGTCCGTCCTACGTGCGCAAGCTCAAAGCCTTTAACGAGAGTGTCTTGGTATTAGAAGCTATCTCGTAAATAAATCCCCGAGACGACGGCGCCCCTCGACCCCACTTCGCCCGCGGTCCCGCATACGAATGCTGGCGGTGCATTAACGAGAAGACTCGTCTAGCATTTGGAGCGTAATTACCTGTCGTTAGAGATCGCGACGGCGACTGTTGCGGCGTGGCCACCAACGGCGATAAGGGTTCATACGGGGGCGGCGGGGGCGAAGACGGCGACGGCGTCGGCGATGGCGGTTGTAGCCTCAGGAGCAGGTCCGGATCGAGATTCAAGATCTTGAGGACCCTGTGAGGATTCGCACGCACCCATGCTTCGAACAGGTCGACCGGCCAGTCGGTCTGCGTCGATGCGTCGATCAATCTCGTCGGCGGGTTCCAGCAAATTGCGTCCGGAGGATGAGACGAGCTCCTGGCGAGGACCCCGCTGCCGCGACTAGCCGGGGTCGGCAGATTCGGATTGCTCTGGGGCGAGCAGGCGAGCATCTGCAACGCTTGAATGGCGTTGCGCACCTGCCGGGGAAAAATGCACGACTTTCATTTCGCGATCTCTCTCGTGAAAGCGGCTTCCCCGATTAAATGATTCGTTATGTTTTTCTTTGTTTCCGATATTTCTATCATTCTCTCCGCAGTTTCAATGGAAAGTTGGAAAACGCCGATGTAATAGTAACAATAGTAATAAAATATAAAATGAATATAAATAAAACAACCATCTGAATATAATAATAAAACATAAATTTATTCTAAATAGGGAACAATGAACGATAAAGAAAGATTGTTAAAAATATTATAATGGTTGAGAAGATCAGCAATAAGATTAAAAGTTATTAAAAATATTATATAATAACTATAATATAAAAATAAAAAATCATCGAAAAGCGCTCTTTCGCGGCAGAATTCGAGACGAAAATCGATCTGTATGTTTCGTGTGTCGTACGGCACGCAAAGTAGCACTTAAAGAGATGCTCTCTTCAAGCTCCGACGAGTAAAATCCCGAATTTTGTGAATCTCGCGGCGTACGGACTGTCGATAGCGGTTGCGACAGCAAAGCCACGCCGCTTTTCCGTCGGATCGTCATGCGTAATATCATGTGTGATTTAAACCATGCGAGTCATCGATCATCAATCCCGGGGCGTACCTCGCAGCTGAGTGTCGCGACGTCCTGATGCAGCGTGGAGAATTGATTATCCAGCCTTTCGACCGAGCCTCGGATGTGCTCCTCCATAGATTCCTGGGCGATCACCTGCGCCGTCCTGCCGCCTCGTACCAGCACACCCCTCCCGGCGCGTCGGCCCTCCCTGTAATCCTCCCTGATGCGCCAAAACGAAATCAATCTCACCGGTCTAGTGCGTCGTGAGCGTGCGAGCTTCTCGACGTCGCGACCGATGACGATGTAAAAATTCCGCGCTAGGAAATTTCGCAAATGGATTATACGATGACGTCGACAGGACTTGGGCCGACGATAGAGAACAGGAGGAGACGTAGGATCTCTGAAGTCTAGGTAAAACTTTCGAATATCCGGAGCCCCGCCGAGCGGAAAATCGCATTGCCGCCCCCCTCATCTTCCATTCTCCCCTGTGAATGTGGATCTCTTCCTTCCTCGTCGGGAACGAACTACGGATGCAATCGCGAGCGCCTCCAGCGATCCGTGAGGTCTTTTTTCTCCGTTCAAATGATACAATCGATAAAATATCTTGAATCACGATATGTGTGTATATGTGTGTGTGTGTGTGAGCGAATTACTTCGCCGACAACGGTTTGATGGATATCTTTATATCTACAAACGACGGCAGAAACTTTCGATACTGCTTTAGGGTTTTATTTTTTGCGGGGCGAAGCGATATGCCGTCCTTCCCGAAGAAGGGCTAAGCTAACGTGGGGAAAAAATGTTTAGTTGGGAAAAGGTGGAAAAACGAAAGCTCCGGATGCCGTACTAGATTAACTTTTTTTCTTTCATCTTTCTCTCTCTCTCTCTCTCTCTCTCCTTTTCTCGCTCACAGGCTATCCATTATCCCGTCCTTTTTGCCGCCGCGCCGTCAAAATTTTTATCCTACCGTCGTTTATCTAACGTGCTTTCGCCGCTTCAACTTTTCATATTTTATAAAAGAACGTTCCACGATTTTATTCTTTCTCTTTTTCTTAGTTCGTCCAGTCTGTGCTAATCAGCTTATATATCCAGCAATGTGAACCGGAAAAAGAAAGATTCGTCGGTCCCAATTAAATTCATCAGCATCCAATTTTCCTGATTAATAAATTACTTTTCGCCACATTGCATATAAAATAAAAGGTAATTGTCACACTTAATTGGGACGGGCGGGATGTAGTACAAAAAATATATTAAGATTTAAGGGATAAAGGGTTGGGTTGAGGGTCAGGGTTAGACGACGGAATGACGGAATCCATGTGCGTTTGAATACCGGGGAAAACTCTCGGAGCGTGTAACACGTTGTCATCCTCCCGTAAAGAAATAAGATTCCCTACTGACATCCTCGAGCGGCTCCTGTTTAACTTCCCGGGATTAACTCTCAGAGTGATTAAATAATTACGTTCTCTCCCCACGGGAACGCCGCTGCTGATCGCGGAGTGAACTCTCTCCTCACGAAATCGGCTCTGCGCGCGAGTCGCGAATTCCGGTCACGCAGGATTTACGCGATACGTCTATTGCGACGGACGAGAAGCGACGGAAAGTTAGCGTCGTCCTTGCCTCGCGAGAGAACAGAGAGAGGGTCTTACCTGAATTTGGCATGTCGCGGGCTCGAGGTGTGAAGCGGTGATTTATTCGGCGGCGATAAGGGCGAGGACTCGCCCTCCTCGACGGCGTTCTCGTCGTCTTCACTGATAGAGGGTAGTGTCAACGACGGGCCGTTCACATCGGACTCCTGCTGAAATTCGCGCGACAGACGGAGAGGCAAATTCAGATAAATTCGCCAGCCAGACGGAGAAGTTTACAATGAGCACACAAAGAGCACCCGCGCTAGTCCCATTTTTAACGCGTCCGGATCGAGACATCGAGACGACGCGTTAGATTTCTCATCCACGTGTTTGTCCGTTCGCCCGCTTGTCGCGGATAATCTCATCCCGCGTGGCCTTTAAAAGTGTTCCCTCTCAAATATTTAAATGTCATAAACTCTCTTTGATCGCTCACGCTGGGGCTAGTTAGTGCACCCTCCTCCCTCCCTCCCTCCCTCCCTCCCTCGCGGAATGTAACCGAGGCGACACCTGACGCCTTTCAACAGCTTGCCCGCATTGCCCCCGTGGGAGTAACAGGAGTTAATTACCTCCGCCTCGTATCCCTCACGCAGGTTGTACGTAAGATCGTGCTGTATATCATGCGCGAATTCGTGCTGATACTCCGGATAAAGTCGCAGCACCTCCACCAGACCCTGCATGTGTATGCACTTGAGATCGCAGTACGTTAACGCCTTCACGTCGCAGCTGGACTTCACGACCACGTCCACGGAACCGGAGCCCGAGGTGCCGCCGCCGTTGTTACCATGCTGCAGGTGCACGTTTATGTCGCAGCCTACCAGGTCGCCCTTACCTGGAAGAGACAGGTCCGCGGGTGTCTGAGTCTGCGGTTTTTGCAAGTTGCCTCGGGTCATGAAGAAACGCGAACCGATGTGCATTTGAATTCGAAGCTCGTCGGAAACAGACTCGTTGCATTTGCAGATTGAAAGAATGTTGGGCGAGGGGGGTGGTCATGAAGAGGGAGGATTCTGTTCTCGTTCTGACGTAAGCCTTCTAAGAACGTTTCGTTGAACTCGAAATGATGATACACAGATTGTATACATTGTATACGAAAAGAAGGCAAACGGAAGTAGCTGGAAACAGAGAGAGAAGAAAGCTAGAAGTGCTGGGAGTGCGATGGAAAAGATCGCACGTCATACAAAAGAGAACATAGCCGAAAAAAGACATAACTAAAAAACACATAACTTAAGCAGGAAGCAAATCGTCAGCGAGAAAAAAATATAAGGCTTTAATAAAATCAGTTATATGTACCACTTGCAAGTTGAGGTGATATTTTGTATTATGCCATTTCAAATTATGACATATTATATCAAATCGTGTCATCATGTTATTACAGATTACCACATTTTATGTCAAATCGTATCATCCCATCATATAATGACACATCGTAATTTTTACGGCAACAACAAACACAATCCCTCCTCGCCCAACTCAGAAATAACTGTTCCATTGTTGTCAACAACCAACGCTCGTTAAACCGAGAAACAAAAGAGGAACAAGAAGCTGCTTTCCGATTTAAAATATCAAAAGTGTCATTTTTCCTCGTTATAGAGTGTAATCTTGCATAATTGCCCTTGATATTAACTCTCATTAGCAAATTAGCATGCATGCGTGAGACGCGTCTTTTTCACCGAATGAAATCGCTAGATTAATATACAATTCTTCAATTTTACGTTCCCAGCATACACGCACATGTCTGATCCTATAATAATAATCCCGAAGTTCCTCCGAGACTTTTTTGAGATAAACAGACTGTTGTGAGTCTCCAACCACAGAACAGCCCGTGAAACAATCATGGCCTTTTTAATGAGCTGGTCCAAAGTCGCGAATCTCTCGGCTCCCGGATCACTTTTCTACGTAACGTTGCGACAACGCGCGGATAATAGTTCGAGATGTTAAAACGGCAGGCGAGTTTAATCGTCGATCGTTCGATCGCGACGCGTCTCAAACGACGCGGTCGGGTGTTAATCTCTCACGGCTTACCGAGGATCGCGACCACCATGCTGTTCTGCACTACCTCCATGGAACCGTTGCATAAGTAGTAGATGTAGGAGAGAGCGTCGCCTTTGTGCACGAGAAACTCGCCCGGAGCGCAGAAGTTGTTTCTGATATGGAGAGACAGCAGTTTCAGGCAGCCCTGAGACGCGGCCTCGAATATCGGCAGGCTCAGGATCTCCCGGTGTAGATGCATCGAGACGTCGCCGCGCAGCTCCTCGGGAAATTGCTTCAGCGTCTGCGGCATCGCGACGCGATTTCAACGCGCGTTTCGCGCGCAATAATAAGCGATTATTAACAACCATTATTTACCATCGCCCGCTCATCCAACTATATTTGCTACTGATCCGATATCGCGCCCGCGAACACCCCCCACCCCCTCTCTCACCTTCTTCCGGTTCACTTCGAAATATAATATTGTCAAATATTAACCCGAGTACATATAATGACTCCGCTTCGGCGATTATTATACTCTCACAGCGCTCGCATACCGCGTGTTTCACTGATCGAAAGTCGTCGGCTTTGATTTGTTTGACCTCACCCACCTCGTGCACGTCGATACCGTGATTCAGTGACCACATGGTCTGAAAGTAATCCTGCATCCGTTGCTTCAGCTCCTCCGGGATCTGGTGGAGCACCAGGAAGTCCTTGAGATCGCGCAGCTTCGTCTGGTACAGCGATCGTCTCGAATACATTCTTTGAATGATCGCGGTGACGTTGCCGAATACCACCGCGTGCATGAGAGCTGGAACGCAAAATCGTATGCGTACAATGCGACGCAGCTCCCGTCGCCCTCCTCTCCCGCGTCGCATGACGTATGCATGGCGATATCATCGAAATATGGTACAACGTTCGCGGGGAAATAGCTCGCGTTCGTCGATAGATTGGAACGAAGAGAGAACGCGTGTCAATTAGTTGAACGTTCGACGACAACGCAACTTCATCAGGACTCGTCGACACTGCGCGAGAGATTCATTTTTTGCTCGCGATAACTCCGAGGGGAAAGAACGCTTTGAATTAAGATAATCGACGGAGAACAGGGGAGAACCCGGAAGAAAAATATATACGATGAAGATGAGACCTGGAAAAAGTTGGGTTCTCGAGAAAACTTGCCGCTCGACTTCATCCGCCCGGGAGACCCGGGCGAATTACTAACTAATGTCCGCGGCTCTGATCTCCACGTGCTCTTCGCACGCTTATTGAATATCTTATGAGACGTTAATTTTTTTATAATTAACTGTGCGATTCGCGTGGTCACGCGCGAAGGAGCGAGCGTTGAACCACGAGATAGCACGCTGATAATTGAGCGCGTGGCTTAAGGAAGAATGCTTGATATTTGCGACTATAAGCGCACAGTAAGAGAAATAGAGTTGCCGAGAGAAGCGTTTTTTTTTAGTAAGCGTCGTTGTAATGTTAACGATAATGCGCTTTCGCGACTTTTTGTCAGAAGATACAACTTTCCTGGCATTATCATTATCTCTACGATTATGCGGAAACTTCTCGTATACCAGCGGGTTTGGAGAAAACCCGCGGAATAAAGAAACGAGAAAGAAATAAATAAGATTAATTGCGAGCGTTTACCGCTCGGCGCGATATTATAATTTCGTACTTAAGAAGTCGGGGCTTACCGCCGATCAGCATCGTGCAGATGGAGAAGAACTTCTCCGAGAACGTATTCGCCGAAACGTTGCCGAATCCTACGGAAGTCAGGCTGCTGCACGTGAAATACAGCGCCGTGATGTAGCTCTCCGTGTGCGTGACGTTCTGCACGGATATCTTCAGCCGCTCGGCCAGGGTGTGTATCCAGCCTGGAACACGTCAATTATACGATCCCGGGTTAGTCGCTAGTCGTAGCTACATCAACGGTATTCCGGTAGCGTGTTCCCGGTATTCGGACACTCATCTGCGAACGCCGTTTTCCACGAGAAACTCGCTGGCTCGTGTTCCTCTGTGCACGGAGCATTCCGCGCGACAAGGGCGAGCCCGCCATTCATCATGAACGTTGCTTGCCACACGCACCTACATCACTGTGATCTTCAAAGAGAAGTCCACGAGATGAAATCTGTCTTTTGAGAGCCGTGCTTCGACATTTTTGGCAGACTTGAACCATTTTGTTCGCCGTTCTATTTCTACGTCGCGCATTATTTCGTAAGAGAAGCTTCTCCGGACGATTCGGAGACATTTCTCCTCGGTTGAAAGGACGAGAGGACGGAATCGTGCCTCTCTCAATCGCACAATCTTCAATATTCTGTATCTTCACGCAACTAAGGCTCAGATTAAAGTTTCATTTAAGGGGGCTGGAACTGAAGGGTCAGATTACTGAAAAATCGTGCTTGTTTCTTGACAATATTTTGTGACGAACTGAATAAATGTGCAAGAGTGAAAATTTTTGATATATTTATATAACATATGAAGAATTTAACATAGAAAAATTTTGTTTATTAACAAATATTCATACATAAATATACGTCCACTTAAATTTTAAACGCGTTTCTCTAGAAATTTTATTGTTCAGCGTTTTGCAGTGATTTCTCCGAAACTGAGCTTCGTATGGATTTGAAATTTTAAAGCAATAATATTTGTTCATCTGACACTGTCCAGGTGAACCATGGACAACTCCGTCAAAATATTTCATTTCGAGATATTAATTTTTTTATTGTAAAAGAACTGAAAAATTTGAATTCTTTCCTAATAATAGCTGCCATTTTGTTAATTTTGTTCGATTTTTTTTATAGTGCTTCACCGGATAATAATAAATCTCCTTAAGATTTCTAACTAAAATTCGCTCTGATCGGACTACCGAGAGCCGAGATATTACTGCGACAACTTGAAAAAAAAGGAGAGTATATATCTCAGCTACTATAAGCGCATAGTATATATATCGTATATTTATATGAGTATTCGTTAATAAACAAAACTTTTCTACTCTTGACATGTTGTATAAATATACCTAAAATTTTCATTATTGCACATTTGTTCAGTTCATCGCAAAATATTGTCAAAAACAAGCACGATTTTTCAACAATCTGACCCTCCAGTCCCTTTAAGCAATCTCAGCCTGAAACCAGCTGAGTAACACAGCTTTGGCATCTGTGGAAATTTATATTTCGCGTTCTTCTCTTTCGATCGCTTACGATACGAAAATCGTCGGTGCATCAACATTTTCCTCGCTGAGGAAAATTCGACTCCAAATTGGTCGAAGAATATCATTAAAAAATAATACGGTGGTGGAGGAGGAAACTTATTTACGTATTTATGTATTTCGCAGTGGAGGTCTCGTCTCTCCCCTTTCAACTCGAAACGTTAATATCTTTTTCGGGCAAATCGGCGGTCTCGCTCCTATCGTACGGGACTTCTTGTATAATTTAATAAAAACGTTGACCGCGCACGTATATATTGATTGACCCACGTTCCCGTCGGGGCTTTACATTTTTCAAGCAAGATGAAGGAAAGCCAAGATTGCTCTCAGAATTGAAGCGTCACGGCGACACGAACTCGCGTCTCCACCCGCCGCAGGTCTCTCCATCTTTCCTTGGTTGCACGAATAAAACAGTTTTCCGACAACTATCGGAAAGCAATGCCTACAAATCTCATGCATGAGCTCTCTCACGTCGACGGGATCTTCCGCGGCTACAAATCCACTTGCGCGATCCACTGCACTGAATGAACGTGCACTGAACGTGCTCTCTGAACGAACTCTCTCGTTTCTCTCCTTTTCTCTCGCTCTATCCAGATGGATAGCGTAGCGCCCGCAATTCTTACAACACTCACGAAGAATTGTTCTCGACATGTAGACATTTGCCTGTCCTCGGAAAGAAAGAATTACCGGCTGCTATCACGCACGTGTAATCTTTAAATTTCCCGGAATAAAATGTCGCATGAAACAAGTAAAATTCACTTGATTTGCTGTAAATTTGTTCCGATGAAACGATAAAATATCGGATTGCTTGATAGATAATTTTGGGATTTTCTAGTAAAATCAAACAATTGTGTTTATGTCGCCGTGATTTTATGAAATAATACGTGCGCTGTTTCGACCCATGACCTTCCATTGTCCTTTGCACATATTGTCACGTAATTATATGACAACACAAAAATATAATCGTCTCATTATTATATCTGGAAAATTCGAAACCACTCGGTACACGCGGCAAAATCTTTTATTGAATAATCATACTAACGTAAAAATTTATATATCACAACAACTGATCAACAGTTTGTTCACAGGATATTTTATTAATTTTAATACTTGAAAATTAATACCAGCGGACGTTAATATTTTCCAAAAAATTCTCTGCGTAAACAACCTGATATAGCAAGCCGCCTCGGTATATCGATTCCAAATGCAGATACTCACTCGACGATTCCGAGAGTGGTGAATTCACTCTGCACTCTGAACAAAAAGCCCCACGAATTCGAATGACTCGGACGCCACTTCACTTCCCGTGCGGAATTTCACTCGAGGAAATTTCGAGAGTAACTCGCGAGATTGAATCACTCCTAAATTACTTTCGAATCACCCTCGCTGCCTGATCGAATGTGAATTTTCGAAACGCTAGAAACTTCGGAGATTCGCTCACTGCTTTTTGCGTAACACACTCACCCAGATCCCAGTCCTTGTCGTTCCGCAGTCTCTCCTTCTCGGCGATGACGTACCAGATGCAGGCCAACCAGTGCGCCACCAGGATGAAGAACAGCATAAGCATCGTCAAGATGACCGCGCTGTACTGCGAGTACCGGTCCATTTTTTGCAGGAGACGCGCCAGTCTCAGCAGTCGCGTCAGTTTTACCAGGTGGATATTACTGTGCGCCGATTCCTGCTCCGTAGAAACCGAGCGAGCGTTCGTTATTTTATACTGCGTCCCCCGATGTGATTTATATCCGGAAAATCCGCGGCGAAATTGCGTGAAAACAGAAGTTGTCGAATCGACAGCAATTTTAACCGACGCTTCTCGCCGGGCGGGGGAAGAGCCGATTTTGTTTATTCGGTCAAAATTAATGAGCATGTAATTTCAAATGGCTGTTGAGAATCGTCGACTTGGCCCCCTCTCCGAGGGGGCCCTTCACTCTCTTCCTCTCACTCTCTCTCTCTCTCTCTTTCTCTTTTTTCTCTTTCTCTCGTTTAATACACAAACTATATTTATCTTTAATACATTTTGACACAAAATATATCGATTTCCCATTACACACAGGGCGAATTAATCAGCTTAACTTCATCCTGTCGGCTCGACGCTCGACGGAAACTCGGAATCATTAATTAGAGCAAAACTGATATTGGGACGCACGGTAATATTTAGCGAATATCGTCCCGACGGTGTATATTTCTCCGCGCTGTCGCAATAACGTCCGGAATAATCCGATTTAGATTTCTGCTTGTCTTGCTGCTATCGTATTTTCCAATTTCTACACGGTCTATATATATATATATATCTTTTATTTATTATATATATATATATATATATATATATACACATATAAAGAGAGAGAGAAAGAGAGAGAGAGAGAGAGGAAGGAGAGGAAATGAAAAAGGAGGTAATGGGAGAGAGAGTAAGTACATATTTTAAAGTTTTCCTACGTGCAATCTGCTAATAGCATAATTCTACGCGTAATTAGCGATGATTACGTACTTTGATGCGCGAATATTTAATTAATTGTCTCGTCCATTTAGCATTTCCAAACTCTCGCTGTCTCCGAAAGTTCTCCGACGGTGGATTTCTAAATATATTTATCCCGCAATATGTGTCGGAGGTATTTCGTCTGCTCGATTACTTAACCGAACCGATCGTGCAATATGATCGTCATTATTTGTCCATTCTCGCTTCGCGAGAAATGAAATTATATCGGATATCAAAAGGACAATCTCCCAGCGGTGTGGAACAAAATTGCGAAATCAATCTCCCTTCGTGATTACAAATTCAACGTTACGGAAGAGGAAGTTACCGCACAACTCCACGCGTTCCCTTTATAAATCACCCGCTCTGCTTTCCGCAGAAGCGGTTAACAAGCCGGCACACACACAAAACCTATTTTCCCGACAAATGAAAAGTACCAACCTCGCCGCTGTAAACGTCGGAGGCATAGAGAAAATCAAATGGCAATGCCGCCACGAGGTCGACCAAGAACCAACTTTTCACGTAGTTCACGGCGATGCTCTTGCTATTGCTGACTACTTCGCCCTTTCTGCTCACGTATGTTGTTCTGAAGTTCAAAACGATATCTGGGGAAGAATAATGAAGTATTCATTCGCGCGATGTGCGTGTGAGAGGATCGCGCATTTTTTACGGAGGGAAAAGAGGGAGGGTGTGAGAAGATGTTCGAGGCACTACGGAGTAAATGGAAATGTAAATTCTTGAAAATTTGATATAACGCCAATACGAACACCGACGCGGGATCGAAGTACGAACGAGGAGAAGCTTGTGACTGCGACTTATTTTCCACGCGATAAAGTAGATTTTGAATTTTAATCGCGAATAATTTCGAGGCGTACGCGATAAAAAAAGGACGAACCCGCCGATTCTTATAAAAAACATTATTGGTTCTTAAAGTTTGGAAGAACCGAGCTCGCCATTAAGATACATAAATAAATAAAGTGACGAAACTTTGCCAATTTGTAAATTTTGCTGGCCTTATGTCAGTACAGAGAGGACGTCAGTTTCACTTTCAACAGTCCAAATGCGAGAAAGAAAATACAAATAAAGATAATTAAAACGCGGGAATTAAGGATTGGAAAGGTGACAGAAACGGAACGAGAAGATCGGAAAATGTTTCCGCGGAGGGAAAATTTTATTTCATCCTCTCGAGAGTTTAACATTATTAATGCTTGCAGTTTTGACTCTTATTTGCCGACTTATTATAAACTGCGCTTGAATATCTCCAAAAGATTATTTTGAGCCATTTAAGATTATCATTTTACGGTTTGAATTTTACGTAGTCTCGCTTAATGAGTTTTATTCTGAAGATCTTTCCTCAAAGATTAAAGCCCGCCGATTACCTTGCTTTAAACAGGCGTTAAACAGAATTGATCGACTAAAACAAACTTGCTTGACTAAATAGGTTGACTATCTTGCTCGATTAAAATCCGATAGTCTGACTATAAATATGAAGAGCCAAAGATGATAAGCAAACGCGATGCGGCGACGCGACGCACACATTCGTTGGCTGATTTCGTTAGCACTCCTGTCCGGGCCACATGTTTCATTTGTTACAATTAGCCTAACACGATAAACTAACGAGATACCAGCTGGTGGCTGGTGGTCAACGGATGTTAATGAACACCCGTTCGCGATCGATCGATACTTTTCCGCCGATGCGCCGCGCATTGAGCCGGTGAATGGTATCGTTTCCGAAGTACCGCGACAATAATCGCGATTACAGGCGAATGTAAATGCGGCTCCCAGCGTCGGGGAGGGGAGGAGGTAGTCTAAACTAAGCCCCGAGCTAGATGGAGAAACTGGCTTTCCCGCTTGTTGTCCCGTCGAGTTGTTCCGCTCATGCAAACGCAGGTATCAAGCGGCCGGGACGAAACTTCGGCTTTGTACGATGAATGCCTTTTAATCCCGTTTACAAATTGGATTTCGGCCGCGAAATTCGCGTTCCTCGTCCACTTATCCGGAGTAATCTCGTTTAAAAGTTACGGATCGTCGATATTTTACATATCGCAGGCCGGTATGTAAAATATCGTCGCCGCTCACGCACTCGCCATTCGGCGACATTCTATATATCGTAATCTACATCACATAATCCGCGAGGATCGACAGAGTTGCCATATTTTTCCCTTCTCTAAAGTAACTCGTTACCTCGCCGCTCGTTGAACTCATTGGAAAAAAGCTCGTTATCGTTACGGTTATCGTCAACTCAAGAAGTAACGAGCGATCGCAATTTCCGTTAACTCGCTCGTCAATTTTTGACGTCCTTGCTCCAGTTTCTTGCTTTCATTGTGTTTTTATTGATAGCATTGTTGCCTCAATCCCGTTAAAATATCAATAATACATGTACAAGGTAACGATAAACATGGTTTTATTCATCGCCGCCATTAGGGAAAAAATAACATTGTTATCAGGGCTTTGCTACAAAAAAAAAAGGAGAAAGAAAATTGCGACGATAACGACGTTACCGTTTATTATCAAGATATTTCACGATGTGTTTGTGCGTATATATGTATGTACGGCAAAAATTGGAACATTCCAACGATCTTGTGCATCTCAGGCTCTTTGTGCCGAGTACGACTATCAAAGTCGAATTTCGCCCACCTCGTTTGCGACTTTGCGACAAGGTAATTTCGTTCAACACCTCGAGCTCGAAAACTAGAACGGCGAACGTTGGAAACGCCCGTTTGTTTATTTATCGAGATCCGCGCGATGGTGCGCGACATCCACGCGATTAATATCGCCGAAGCGCGTCCGCCGGAGCGAATTTCAAGATCGATCGACCGTCGACGGGTATCGTGGTCGATTAAAAAGTGACCGACATTATAATGCGAAATTGATGTCGAAAGTCTCTCTCTCTCTCTCTCTCTCTCTCTCTCTCTCTCTCTCTCTCTCTCTCTCTCTCTCTCTCTTCCCCTCTTTCCTGTTTCTTGTCAGAGTTCGATGTTGAAAGTCATTTTTCCGAAAGAGCTTTTTCTGCCTGCGTCGTTAAATTACTAGCCTTGGTAATCGAAGCGTCTCATCACCGGTAGAGCTTTCTTTCGCTGTCGGTAGGAAATCAAAGCGGCTTCGTTTAATTAAAGTAATTATAGCGAATCTGCATTTCGAAGGCGCGTTTTCGAGTTTTCCTCTTCTTCGTTTTATCCGAAGAAAGAAACGACATCGTCGACACCCGATTGATCGAAGAAGGAAATCTACGTCTTGGAAAGACACCAAGTATCACCTATGTCTCAACCACTTATTATCGTTATCATCATCGTGATTTATTAAAACATTATTAAAACATAATTAATTTAGTGTTCTAAAATCGTTCCGAACGTGAACCGACAGAAATATTGTACATTTCACCAGAGTTGCCTACAATTTTCAACGATCGTGCGTCACGATATAATAAGTCAACTGATGTAAGACGCGCGGCGCGTCCGCAGATGTTGTCCGCGGGCGGAAAAAATCACCCCGGTCAAAGTTAATTGAGATATCCACCCTAGACGGATACGAGGAAAAAATAGAATGAGCCCAATACCGTTCTCAGTTTCGGCCTAACGAGCTCTCCACGTGTTACTAATCGAACGGAGAAAAGGAGGATCTTCCTCTTCTCTCTCGGTCTTCTTTCCTTCCCGGTAAAATTATTATGAGGGTGAAGAGAGAGAGAGAGAGAGAGAGAGAGAGAGAGAGAGAGAGAGAGAAAGAAAGAAAAAAGAGCAATTAATATCGTCACGTCATGATGAAAATCTCCGGACGGATTTCGCGAGAAGGTGACACGAATGCGCGCACTTCCGCGAATAAATCGAAACCCGAGGATCAAATATTATTCATTCCTCGGCGATAAAATTGAATCGCGCCGACTTGGCGCGATTTTTCGGGGTTTAATCATCATCGAAATGAAAGGGTGCCCCGGGATCATATTTCTTCTTTAAAACGTCGCCGCTTTACCTGATCCATGGAATCACCACAGCCCTGTGAACCGTGGATCACAGTTTAAACGAGAAGCTCATCGGCAGGATGAAGGATAAAGCGATAAAGAGAGGTCCAAAGGGCACGGCGAGTGAGAGAGGGTCGAAAATTGGCGGTGGAAGAGAGATACTCACCAATAATGAAGAGCGCTTCGACGACAACGTCACTGACCATGGTAGGCCTATCGGTGTTGATGAAGCTCGCATTATAGGGAACGATTATTGCCACGTAAAAGGTCGCGATGAGTATCAACCAGTCCCAGCAGGATTTGAAGCCGCCGTAATGGCTAAGAATAAATTGCGACTTTTTGATCGCTGACGTTTTGTATTCCGGTAAAGGCGGTGCAGTGGAATGCAGAAGCGTCTAGAAGGATACGCAATGTAAAAGAAAGAATTTGTCGCACTCGCGACGCACACATCGAGCCGAGCTTCCTCTCACCCGACACTTTGCATAGCGCGCGACGTGTTTCTCTAAGAGTTTCTCTCTCTCTCTCTCTCTCTCTCTCTCTCTCTCTCTCTCTCTCTCTCTCTTTATCTCGCTACGTGTTTACTTTTAGATTCTTTTTCAGATTTCTCTCTTAAGAGTTTCTCCTTTTGCCCTTCACTGATCGAGGAAAACACTCAAACACGAGACGTTTATAAATTTCTATGTGAAGCGACTCGAGAAAAAAAAGTGGGCGGCACGAACAGAAATCGAATGTTGATTACTGTGAAGGGACAAGTTACTCCGAATAGTACACGTTTACTACACGTTCAGTTCCTTGCAGATGCCTTCTCGTCGATAAATTGACAATTATCAAAAATTTTCGACCAATCACTTTTAGCCACGCGTTTCTCACGACTGTTAATTAATCTAGTGGCTGAGAATATGCTGAGAGAAAAAGTAACCTTTCGACAGCTTGACTAAAGATTCAATAGATAGAATTTCAATAAAACTTCCATTACATGCCCAAGAAAAATAGAATTTTTACCATGTCAGTAATGACATTCCCCATTATCTTTTCTAAATTAATGGGCTGTTATGAAAAACATGCAGCAAGAAACAATGCGGCTGAGAGCGGAGCGGACGAAATTTTTTAGTAACTATCGGTTTATCGATGGCCAGGCATTCCTGGAACTGCCTGTTGTTGTTCAAGCTCGATCGCGGATGCAAAGCGCAATAATTATCGACTCGCAGGATAGCTGAATAACGCTATGCGTTATTACGCGGAATGAACTCTCGTGATCGATCAACTATATCGCTGCGCATTACAATATAACCATCGTCGTGCGCGAGACGACGGCGATCGCAGGGAGTGAATAAACGTACATTGTTTAGCTTAATTTTGTGCTTATTGTCCTGCTTGTAATGGCCTGACAGTTGATAAAGGACGGCGCGACTCCTTCTTCTACCGTAATTGGAAGGCGGTGCCTCAGGGTCGATATTGCCATTCGAGTCTGGAATTATAAATATATATATTGAGCTATTACCAGACCAAAGATTATACCTAATGGCGTGGAGATACGAGAAGCGACTCCGGGAGAAATAAAAATCACGCAGGGTACGTTCAACAGAGGGGAGTAAGGCAAATAAGGTGTACGTGCCCATTTCGGGCAAGGATCTCTCAACGAGAACACGCAGGCTTCTCCGTCAAGTCACTTTTTATTTCTCTACTTTTACGCAGCTACGTATAACTACATGAAATCTCTACCAAAATCTCTGCGTGTAAACAATACTTCGCAATGATACGTAGAGATGGTGAATATGCGCATCAAATAAAATCTCTTTGCATAATAACACATTTTTCCACTTGGTGAGTTGCTCAGTGTACTGTGAAGTTCCTACGAAAAGTTTGTAACCGATTGGTCCTCTGATTGATCGCATTCGCGGTGATAATTCGAAGGAGAATATTTTTCTCTCAGCTCTGTTGGGGATTACAAAGATGAAATCGTAAATGCACATGTATATAACATGTATTCTTGAAAATTAAATTCGAATCGCGTGAGGATGAAATCTTAATTATACAGCACGGGAATAATAACAAAGCCAGTATGATGATTATAATGTTTGTTCGTGTGAATTTAATATGCATATAATATTTATACAATTATATTAAATTTAATATAATTTAACGACCGGAAGTCAAATGTATAAACATTCGCGTGTTTTTCCGAATGGCGTATCGATTATCCGCTCAATCGACGTTCGGTTACACACTCCGGCTGTTGCAAATAGTGATATTCGTGCAGCATGTTGCGTGATCGCCGTGTACGAAGCGTGAAACGTCACACCCGTTGTGACAGGAGAATACAAAGACAGAGAATAGATGTACAGAGAGAGAGAGAGAGAGAGAGACAGAGATAGAGAAAGAGCCGATCCTACCGACCCGAAACGCCTCTCGGAACACTCCAAAATTCGAGTCGTATTTTCGACGGCTCGACGCTCGGGAAGAGAACGCGAGAGCGTGCCTCTCGCGAGGGTGAAATCGATCCACTTGCGCGTTATTTAGCAGCGAGAAGCATGGTTAGAACTCACCACTATCGTGCAACTCACAGAGCTGAAGGTTCTTCGTATGCGTGATGTCTTTGTGCGAGGCCAGGAACAGAACGACGTCACCCTTCTCGTTTTTTATCGGAACAATGTCGAGTAGGCAATCGAATGGGCTCCCTGTAAGCCAAAACGGCAGGCTATACGGTTTATCCGGAGCGAGAGGGAGTAAAGAGAGCGCGATGGAGATGTTGAGATCGGAATAATGCGTCTGAAATTTCCAAGCGCGAGGATGCTGAAGTACGACAATTTCATTATAATACACAACGGAACGTCGAAGAGACGAACGGCAAAGGCGAACCGTTGAAAGGTGCCACCGGGCAGGGTTCTTCTTTTTTCTTTCGGGATAACGCGACCTGACATTTTCGCGGAAAGCGCACGCTCGCGACGCGCAATGTAACGCGCAAAAAAAAAAAAGGAAAAAAACAGAAGAGAAAACAGAGAGAGAGAGAGAGAGACTCGAGCGAAAATAATGTCCAATTTTTTAATCGGACAGATTTTCCCGCCGCGTCGTAATATCCCGGCGGAGGATTAACCGAAAATCAACCGAACTAGAGCTCGTTGTTAATTAACTCACGCTCGCGCGGTTAACGAAGAGGCGAACTTATATTGCCCGCCGTCGTGGTGGAAATTCAATTGCGCCAGCAATTCGGCGCAATGATACAAAGTGTATCGCGCGCAAGGTGTTCGATTAACTTCGTCCCGTAGAACAATCGTTCTCGCTGGAAAGAAAATGGTGGTAAAAAGAGACGAAAAGGACCTCTCGACGGTGGTGTAGCGGCAACGCAAGCATGAGATTGCTTCATTTAGTTTTGCTTCTCCTCTCTTTTTCCTCTTTTTCGCTGTTGCACGGCAAATTACCTTGAAAAATATCGAGTTTCTCAATGTCGCTCGACCCCGAAGAGCGTAAGCCGATATCTGCTTCCGGGTTGCCGCATTTTTAGTCCCCTTTTAAATATGTAAGTGCCGACCGTGCGGATTCGCAATTGTCGCCTTCGTAGATTCGCGTAAACCGCAGTCACGTTTCTCGCGTCAGTGTACGTGACGACGTTCCGTCTCGAAAAATAGGGATTCGGGAAGTGAAACAATTTCCTGAAAAGTTCCAATCCGGGCCGAGGTTCGAATACCGAGACAGGTGTATTAACACTTTGCCGGCCGCTGTCACGTACGCGTGACTTCGGTTCAGCGCGGCAACAATGTTTCCACTATGCTTCTGTTTTAACTATCCCGATTGTCTTTTCTTGACATTCTTTAATATCACCGTCGGCGAGCAGTAGAACCCGCGCGAAATCCGCCGGCGGCAGCGTAAAGGCGATGCGAGAAGTAAGCGGCCGGCAAAGTGTTAATAGCCGCTGATTTGGATACATTGTTGCTATACTCGAATGAGCAGATGCTAATTCAAGTGAGACTGTCTTAATATTATCTTACTTCTTTTCCTTTTTCTCTTACTCTTCACCTCTTTTCTTTCATTTTAATTACATTTAACGTATTATGCTAAAAAAATGATTGCCGTAATAAGTATACAAGAAAATTAATAAACTTTCAAATATTTTGACAAAATTGCATTTTGGAAAATTTTTAGTTTCAACGTTTATAGTTTCGGGATTATCATTTTTCTGGAAGTTGTCCTACTTTCCAAATTTCATTTCCTTTCTTTTTAGAACAATTCATGACCTCTGTCTTTTTCTCTCGGCGATCCCCCGAGCGATACATGTTGTAACGTATGCGTCGAGATTCGCGAGGGAGAAAGAGAGAGAGAGAGAGAGAAAGAGAGAGAGAGAGAGAGAGAGAGAGGGAGAGAGAGAGAGAGAGAGGGGGGGGGAGAGAGAGAGAGAGAGAGAGAGAGAGAGAGAGAGAAAGAGAAGAGGGAGAGAGAGGGAACAGAGAGAAAAAGAAGGAAAGGAAGAAGAAGAATAGATCGCTCGCAGATCCGTTATCGCCGGGCACAAACTCACCGTTCTTTTTGTAGAAGACTACTTCCATCTTTAGTTCGGTCTTGCTCTCTAGACTCTTGTCGATCATGGCCTTTTCTTCCTCCTTCGTTTCCGGCCCGTAGAGAAACTTGCAGGCGCAACCCTTCTGCATGATTTGCGCCCGCGCGAATCCCGTCAGCTCGCAGAAGCCATCGGAGCAGTAGACGATCGGATAGATCGACGGCACCTGCGCATTTCCCAGTACAAAGTTGCTGTCTGTAAACAGAAATGGAGAACAACACGTTCTCAGGATTAATTAATCCGACACGAGCGAATCGCACGCTTTTCTCACGAGCGAGAGGAGCTTGCCGTCGCGCTCGTCGCGTTAGACTCGCGCGAGACTGCGAAATTCCTGCGGGCGTGGAAAAACGTTTATTCGCGAAAACAACCGACCCCTTTTCCAATTCCCTTTGTCGCACGCATGAACGCGCGAGATTCTTCTGAAATCTCCCGAATGGCGCTTCGATGCCACGACGTGAACACGTGAGACGAAGCGTCGCGCAAATTTCCGCAACGTTCCCCCGCGCCTTTCTTTCAGCGTTCTCCTCCTATTTCCTTCAGAGCGTGTTTGCGTACGTTGCACACACGCGTGCACGCACGCACGCACGCACGCACGCACGCACGCACGTACGTGACGCGAAATGAGAAAGCGCACCTGAAAATCTGACATTTTCATCAAACGCTGCACAAGAGAGAGTGCACGCACGGCGTTCTCCCCTTCGCCGCGTATTTTTAGCCGGCGAACCCTTCACGGTTCAACTTTCCCCCCGTTATTCGTGCTAATTCCCGTTTTACGCGCGAGGGATGGTTCTGATCGTCAAACGACGAGCGCCGTTTCCGGATGTTCCCTGCCGATCGGATCAGGAGCTCGCGAGGGTACGACAAAGGGTCGCACACGGTGGCTTACAACGCGCGTTACACCCCCTGTTCATCGCCGTTCATCCGCGCGTGAGAGCTCTCTCAGCCACAGGCTGAAAGGGGGAACCGTGCGCGCAGGTACTATTCGCAAAGTCGAGATTCGCGGTGAATCCTTTGAATTTTTGGATGAGATTTCACAACGCAATCAACATCATTCATTATCGCATAAGCGCTACTTAATATTACTTGCGAATATTCGATATTATTAACACATTGAACGCTACAGTGATGGTTGCTCGCTAATCTTCGCGGAGAACAAGTCTGCGAACAACGGGCGAGATAGAAACAGCCGACAGGGGGCCAGTGAGATGAGCTAACGAATGTACATTTAATTATTTATTCATGCCAATTGCACTGAATTATTTATTCGGCGACTCTCAAGCTTGAGTTGAGCATTGAAAACACCAACGTGGCGGTCAACGTGTCGAGTAGCATTTATCATTATCATCATTTGTCAGAAGCATTACTTACTTTTATCCTGCGATTTGCAGGGTGAGTGATAAAAGGGATGAAAAAGCAAAAAAGAGAAGAACAGACGTGGAGGGAAGGAAGTGGAAGAAAAATATGGATGCGATGGAAAAAGAGGAGTGTTGTACGCGCGCGATGCAAAAGCTCGAGTTTTTTCTAACGGAATTCGTGTTGGAGGGTGCGGAGGCTGGTGTTGCGAAAACGATACCGCGCTTTCGCTGTCTCGCCCGTCTCATTAATTTAAGCGACCGCTTCGTGGCTTACTTGCAATACGTATCATTATTTCGGAGAGCTCTCTCGACGAAAGATCTTCGCGACGCTTGAATTCCGAGCGATGCTCGAAGAGACTTATGGCTAACAGCGCGTGCGATAAGTCGCGCTAAGTCACGGCGCTTCGCTAAACCGTTCGCAAACAAACGGACAAATTTGCGTTTTTTATCGTCGATGGATGGATGGAAAGGATGAGAATGGCAGAAGACGAGATTCGGTATAACGTTGCGTGAGACGATGAAGAATTTCAAGGTTAAATGCGACATTATAAAATAGCGTCGCTTTGAAGCTTGGATAAATGACGTCAGAATCATTGACGGAGACACCACCCGATAAACTATACCGGATGACGATCACCTGTGTGCGACTACTTGCATCGTTCGCTTCTCGCCTGGCGCGTCATCAACGCGTTTCGATTATCGGTGACGACGGTGCGATTAATCAGCCGCAGTTATATAATACGGAAACGCGGTAACAGGAAGTCATATTCTCTCCCGTACGTCTTCGTGCGTTGCGTAATATTTCGTGCGGCTGGCCTCCGATCGCTCGAGTTAATCGGCCTCTTCTTATTCTTCTAACGAAAAATTCAGTTGCATGTTGGACAGAAAGTTGAGTAACTCGAGTGAATTATTGCCAAAGTGGAATCGTTGATTTCCTCATTTCGGTAACGTGAGTGCCGCAGTTAATTATAAACCTTTACAGCTGCATTTTTAAAACTGAGTAATTATTGATTTTAACATAAAAAATTAATTCAGTATGAAAGAAAATAATTAAAATTGGAATAAAAAATAAGTAAATTTCATTGCAAAATTGGAATGAAATAAATTCAATTAGAATTAAAGGGTAGAAATACGTTGTAACGTCGCTGCATAAAAAAAGATCCACGTTAAACAATTGTTTTTAATATTGAATATCTTAACTTTCGGATACACATATACATATGTATGTATCAATTTAATTGAGCAAACAGTCAGACGACACTTCGATACACAGTCTAAATTACAGCGAATTTTTCAGGGATTCACTTTACAAAACAACCACTGCTAGTGTCGTCGGCTACGCTGAAGAGGGGTCGGTGAGCTGAGAAACCTTGCGAGTGTGTTAATCCGAAAGTTGCCGGCTCTCAGCCGCTAAATCGATCGCGAACTTTTAAACGATTATTAGCGCGGGCGAGTGAACGGCAAATTGGCCGTCGTGGGAAAAGTCTCACGTACGCAGTCTCGTCCGCGATTACTCCCGGCATTCGCGGTGTATAAGACCAAATAATTACGGAGTATCCTAAGAGGTTTCCTAACTCCGCCAGGCAAATTGCGCAAGTTATATCGCCGAAACGACTCGTCAAACGAAATAACTAATTAGTCCCGTGTATGGCGCAGAGAGGATACGATCGCGAACCTATCACGCATCTATTCGCGAGAAACTCCGCGTTTTCGGAGACGCGCTATCGGTCCCTCGCCGCATCTTCTTCCGATCGACGATTTTCTCACGATCCCATCTCTGTCGAACGGACGGATCTCTGTTTCCGGACAATAAAAACGACGTCTTGTACTCTACTTGAGGGGCAATCGGATTTTTGAATGTCTCTTAAACAGACAGCGAGGGTGAGATATTGAGCGAGAAGAAAACAGAGAAACAGACAGAGATGGTAAACCTGCTCGAACGGCTTCTCGTATTTTTTTAATAGAAAATTGGATCGCGCCTATCCTGGCCCGACGGCTCCTCGGGCCTCGGAGAAAATGTCGTAGATCTCGTCGTTTTTCAAAGATAAAGAAAAATTCAGGAGCGAGTAAAATCCCATGCGACCGAGGCGCTCGCGCTCCGACAAATATTTCCATATTCATTAGTGCATCGCAAGCGGAATTTCAAGTTTCACGGACCGATTGATACGTACCGCCGGTGTCGCGTACGTACAATGGTCGTCGATTCTAATTCAGCGATTCGCAGCGGTTACCAAGCATATTTTTCAACTCGAGGGAAGAGGGGAAGTTTTCTCGGAATAATGTCAACACTCCTAACACCGTAAAACATCATCCGAGAATCCCCGTCTCAGCTGAGACACGCCGAGAAAAGGCTCTCAAGAGGCTGAGGAAAATTTTTTTTCGACTATCGGCTTGAAATGGATATCCGTGTAAATTATTGATTAAACGCGGTGATGCATAATTCCTTTCTACCGTCGATATCAATTTATCTCAGTCGTGCAAAACGAGCACGGTGATTTTCACCGTCAGCACGGTATATTTTTTGACAAAATTTCCCTCTTTAGACACCGAAAAATAATCTCGCGTTAATCTCCGTCCCGGCTGAAAAGCAAACATCGCGAGGAGTTTCAAAGAAGTGTCGGAAAATTTTGTACCCCGTCGAGAGTTGAAAAGGATACTCGAATAAATTATTGATTAATCGTGGTGGGAGATATGTAAGTTTTGGAGTTGATGACAATTTGTCTCTGTCGCGCTATTCTGACGGTAATTTTTCATAGCAAGGTATATTATTCGACAGCAATTCTCTCTTCTTCTTCCTTCTTCTCACTTCCCCCCCCCCTCTCTCTCTCTCTCTCTCTCTCTCTCTCTCTCTCGTGAGCAGCGAACAAATCACGAAGGAAGTTTTTATGGAACGTTTTCCGACACGCACAATGAATCGCGCGGGAAACTGCGGGAAAAAACTCAAGTCGCGTCTCTACGAGAGACGGCGACGGGGGATTCCTAACAATTCAATTCGCTATTATTCTCGCGGCGCGATATCACACCCGAGTACAATGACAATGAGCGGCCGCGAATCGCGCGAGCGAATTTTAATCAAAGCCTAAAAGTGATTTAGAGCTAATTACGGCGAATTAACATGAAAATAGAGAACAGCACGCGACACGCTGATGCGTCGCGTGCTCTGCTTCGTCGTTCGTACGCACGGTACGCACAATCAGTCACGTTCTCGCCATTGTCGTCTGTTCATATAGTATCCACGTGGATTATAATATACGTGATATTCCGCCGAAAATAATAATATTACTTGAACGGCTTGCAGCTCGTCAGTCGCACCTTGTCAATATTTAATCGCGACGAGATGCTATCATGGTCAACCCGGATTACAAGAATGATGCATCCGAGTGCGCCAATTCGACGACCTTGCGCTTCTTGTCACGTTTCGCGGATTTAGTTACAAGTTAATATCGAATATACGGGGATATTTTAAAAAGGTAATCTCACAAGAGAGCAGGGCCATCAATTACTTTTTTCTCTTTCTGTCTCTCTCCCTCCCACCCTCTCTCTCTCTCTCTCTCTCTCTCTCTCTTTCCCTTTCTTGGTCGTCGCTCCCATTGGTAAACGCTCTTGCTCAAATTCCTGAGTGTTAACTCGAAAGTTTACCGCCAATTTGGGGGAGATTACGCGACGCTGTACTTATCTGACAGTTCGCTGGGCCAGTTCTTTAATGGGACACCCTCGTTGTTTTAACACTCACTCATGCGGTCCCCGTCATAATTTATCTTGTCATTTATATCACATTGTCTCCCTCCTTTCCCTCTTTTGTCGCATATTTCTCATGTTTCTTGTTCGTTTTTCTTATGG